AAGACAAAAAAATCACTCAACTTTCAAATCAAAGACATGCAAATGTATTGGATTCCTTAGGAAATCTAAAAATAAATAAGGGTATTTTTGTCCATTTTTGCTTCTTTTAAAATTTTTTTCTCTCCTTTTGCTTTTTCTAAAATGTCCCTATGTTTTTCAAGGTTGCTGGTTTATGAACATGGGGTTTTTGCAGTTGTACATTTTTATCGTACCTATTATGCAAATGAAATATAGTTGTTAGCTTCCAGTAAGTGGTATGAACAGTTGTTTTACTGTTTATACCCTGCAATTGAGTTGATTTCTATGACATAGTATTAACAGATTTTCAGTAACAAAGCATGCTCTATATTTTGCTCATATAGATGTACACTTAAAGTTTATGATATGCATAATGTGATTTTCACTAGGAAAATAGTTCTATGACACAGTATTAATAGTGTACTTTTTTTTCCTTCTTGTAGATTGCCTTTGCAATTGCTTCAGGTGAAACTATGGACAATTGGAGGTGGTTTTTGCAAAAGATATCGGATATCTTGCTGGGCTTTTTTGGGTTTTTTTTTGAGTTTTTTGTATGAAATGGTATTAACAATGTTTTTCTATGAAATGATATTAACATTGTACTTCTATGACATGATATTAACAATGTATTTCTATGACATAGTATTAACAATACACTTCTATGACATGGTATTAACAATACACTTCTATGACATGGTATTAACAATATACTTTAAGCTTGCTGGGCTTATTTTGGGTTTTTTGTATTGGACTTGTTTTAAGTTAATTAATGACTGAGATGTAATTTATAGGAACTTCAACACTCATTTTTTAGATAGTAAATGGTCTTTGGGTGTTTCTAAAGTCTATTCCATATAGGGTTTTTTTATAATTTCAGATCCTATTTTTGGTATATTACTAAAGCTCCATTTATTTAACTGTTATGGGGGTTTTTGTTTTATTTTATAATAATTAGTATTTAGTTTCTAAGGATCCAATCCGTACGATTCTCATTAGGGTTGTTCTTCGGCCGGAACGGATCAGAAATAGGAGTTCTGAATTCCAATCCAAAAATTTTCGGAAGTCATATTCATTTCTGATGCTGATTCTGAAATTTCAGAATATAATAACACCATTTCGATGCGGAATTTTCGGTGAAGTCAAAACTTTCGGAAATTAAATCTTTTCAGAGTTGTTAGAAGAATTTCGAAGGTCATAGTCAAAAGCAATTTTGACAGGAAGACTTGTAGAAACTTTGGTGCATACTTGTAGTGGTATTCCATCAGTATTGTCATTTAGTTTTCCAATAAATGGTGTCTATCTATATTATTGCCGCGAATAAGAGGAAATATAGTCACTGTTGACGCTCAAAAATGGTTCGGCACTTTTGAGCCCAATTTCGTGATGAGGTGTGATGGATGACAGGTGAAGGTGAGGACCTTCACCAAGTGTGTGAGGATTTGAGCAAGCGATAAACATACAGAAGACAAGATATACGTGGTTCACCCTTAATGAATGGGCTACGTCCACGGAGAAGTATATTCTCATTATTATAATATTGTGTATTTATATTTGTACATGAGGTTGGACCCAAATATAAATGTAAGAAAGGAAAATGTCATGACTAAAGATCAAGCTCAACCCCAGGATCCTTTCCTAAGTGGAGAGTGGTCTCCTTTTATAGATGAGGGGGAGTCTACACATCTTGTAATATTCCCAAGTGAGACTCTTTGCCTTGCTTAGATTTGCTTTTAGTTGCTTGGTCAGATATGGTATAAACAGTCACAAAGAGAGAGAGAGAGAGAGAGAGAAGGAAAAGAATAAGGAAAGAGAATGGTAGGGAAGGAGAGATGAGAAGTGAGAATAAACTGTAACATCTCACATTGACCAACGGAGAGGAGGTGATGTCCCTTATATGTACATGACCGCATCTATCTAGCACGAGGCCTTTTGGGAGTTCACTGGCTTCGAAGTCATGAGAACTCTGAAGTTAAGCGAGTTGGGGGCTAGAGCAATCTTAGGATGGGTGACCCACTGGGAAGTTGCTCTTGAGCTCCCAGAAACAAAACCGTGAGGGCATAGAGGAGAGCCCAAAACGGACAATATCGTGCTACAACATATCGACCAACGGAGAGGAGATGATGTCCCTTATATGTACATGCTCGCATCCATCTAGCACGAGGCATTTTGGGAGCTCACTAGCTTCGGAGTCATGGGAACTCCGAAGTTAAGCGAGTTGGGGGCTAGAGCAATCCCAGGATGGGTGACCCATTGGGAAGTTGCTCGTGAGCTCCCAGAAACAAAACCGTGAGGGCAGAGAGGAGGGCTCAAAGCGGACAATATCGTGTTACGGCGGAGCCGATCCCGGGATGTGACATAAACGTCTGAATGGAGGAAGAGGAAAAAGAATGGGGAGGCTAGAGAAAAGAAAGAAAGGAAAACAAATATAAATTAGGCACCCTAAGATTTTTTTAATATTTTTCAAACTCCTCAAATTAGTGATTAAATATATTCAGTTGACATGTATTACACAAGGACAATTCTAGCTATGGTGGTCCGTTAGCAGAATTGCAAGTGAGAGGCCTTGGGTTCGAAAATACCACTTGTGGATGATTTTTTCATTTTTGGTTTTGTTTGAAGGATATTGTAATATTAAATTTATTATAAATTTATTGTATATTTCTCCATATATATATAGATATACACACATATAATTTAATCACATATGTCGCAAGTTAAATTAATTTTATCATAATTGATGTTAATATTTTAATATAACTTGCACCCCTCATCATGAAATTGGCATTTAATTTTAACCTTAGTGTGTGACCATGGAATTTAATTTTATCCTTTGAACCATGATCAATTTTATTGGATCAACTATTAATCCAATGTGTGATTATGACATTTACCTTGTGTGTGACCATGGAATTGTTACCCTTTGAACCATTATCAATTTGATTGGATCAACTCTTAATCTAGTGTGTGATCATGACATTTACCCTCAGTGTGTGACCACAGAATTGTAACCTTTTGAACCATTATCAATTTTATTGGATCAACTATTAATCTAGTGTATGATTTAATGTTACCCTTTGAACCATGATCAATTTTATTGGATCAACTATTAATCTAGTGTGTGACCATGACATTTACCCTTATTATGTGACCATGGAATTATTACTCTTTGAACCATGTCATTTAATTTTACACGTTTGACCCAAACAAGACTATATTTTTTGCCAATAGTCTTAAATTAATATACTTCTATGTTAAAATTAATCTATTGGAAAAAAATTATACATTTTTTTAGAGAAAAACAAGATTTTTTTTTTCTTTTTCCAATAGTCTTAAATTAATATACTCCTATGTTTAACATATGAATATATGAGTACTGAAATAAAACACATATAAGACCTATAAACAAAAAACAATATAATTAAAATTAAAATTTCAGAATTTTCTAGAAAAAATAGGTAAAATCGGATCGGAATGAGTTCGGAGTAATTCAGAATTTTCAGAATTTACAGATACATTTTGATTCCGATCTGAATTTTATCGGGAAAATCGGATTTCGGCATTTTCGGATATCGGCGGTATCAAAATCGGATTTTTTTGGAAAATTTCGGACCGGAATCGGATTTTCCAATCCAATTTACACCCCTAGTTCAAATTTATGATATTATAGTCTTTGTAATTGTGGTTTACAAATAGAGGAAAAGCGTATTGACTTGTGGTTTCAAATTCGAATCCTCATATCACCTTGGTAGTATATATACCATTCTCTCCTCTTATAGTCGAGACTATAACTTATATATTAAAAAAAAAAATTATTAGTATAGATATTTCTCGTGCTAACGTTGGAAGAAATCCTACATTCAAATTCTCATCAACATTGAGTAAAAGAAAAAGAAAAAGAAAAATTCATATAAACCATTCCCACACCAAAAAAAAGAAAAAAAATTGAACTCTCAGATTGATTTACTGAGAAATTTCTCTCTTCAATATCTCCTTTGGATATGTTGAAAATAACAAATTAATATATATATATATATAAAGCAAAATACAGAGAATGATGAAACATTCAAAATACCAGAAAATGTCCTGGTTAATTCAAAAATTAAGAATTGAAATTATTAATTAAATGAGGATAATATGGTAAATTCACATTTTTTTTCATATTAAAAAAATTAAAATTAAAAACAAAATCAGATAATAAGTTCTATTTTTATGGAATATAACTATCCATGTTATCTTTTCTTAATACTAAAGATAAAAGAAAAAAAAGAAAAGAAAACCAATTGGCACATGTGTGAGTATGTGCCAAGGGGCTAGTATCTATAAAGTATAAACTAATGCAATTAGGAGGGTCCTTTTTTCTTAATTTCTTTTTATTAAATGGTATAGCCGCGCGGCTATACCTTTTAAATGCTATTTTTGACACGTAGGAGCCCAATCGCTAAGAGGTGCTAGCCGGTCCCCTTTTTTTTAAAAAAAAAAATAAAAAAAATAGTATCGCCGCTCGGCTATACGCCTTCTTTAATTTTAAAAAAATATTTATAGCCGCATGGCTATACTTTTTTGACACGTAGACAAGCTAGGCGGTGGCCTTTTTTTAAAATTAATTTTTAATATATAGTATAGCCGCTCGGCTATACGGGGTATTTTTTTCAAAAAATAGTACAGCCGGACGGCTATACGACGTTTTTTTATTTTTTGGGCGAGTCTCCTTTTATTTTTAATTTTTGAATATATAGTATAGCCGCTCGGCTATACGGGTTTTTATTTTTTTTCCAATAAATAGTACCGCCGCCCGGCTAGACTCTCTTTTTAATGGTTTTTAAAAACTAGTATAGCCGCCCGGCTATAAGGTTTTTACACTTGGGCCACTAAGCGCTGGGCGTGTCCTCTCTTTTTTTTTTTACATTTTAAAAATGGTATAGCCGCGCGGCTATACCAGGATATTTGATCGAATCTCTCTATCGGTACTCGCCAGCTTCAGCCGCCATTAGAGAGCAAAGCAGAGCACGAAGAAATTTGTTTTTGTATAAGAATTCTATTAGCAAAAGCGAGAGATCCAAGAAATACCCCCGTGGTAAATATCCTAAAAAGTACCCTTTTCTTGAAGGAGTTTACTGCACGTTTGTTTACTGAACGTTTCTGTTAGAATAATGTCCTAGTATTTAGGGACATCTACTTGTATTTGAATTCCAAGTTTCTGTTACCAGTTAGCTTTATATCCGCTAAGTGGGTTCTTGTTCTTAGTTTCTTTTTAGGTCAAAGTTCCCAACATTTCTTTCATAAATATTCTCTGTTCTTTTTCATTTGGCTGCTTCTGCTTCTGCTTTTGTTTTCATTATTTATTTTCTGCTTGCTTTGCTTGTCTAGTGTGTGAATCTGTGATAGTTGCTCTTCAGTGTTCAAACTTCAATGTACTTGATTTTACCACATATAGCTACTGTTGAACTTGAACACCCTGCTTTGCTCTTTTATTTAATTATTTATTGTTTACTAACTATTTGGCTGATTATGATGTAATGTGGAATACGATCTTTATTGTACACTCTCTAAGTGCCTTGATTTGAGCTCTTTAGATTGTGAAGAAAATGAGAAGAAGCAAAATGCTAGAATTCACACTCCTTTCTCTCAAGTAATTTGGTCTTGTTCTTTCATTTCATTCATTCATTCATTATGTATACCAACAATTGAAGATTTATTTTGTAACATATGATTGAATTTCTTGGGCAAGTCTTCAAAATTGAAATGGGTGGTCAAGATTCAAGAAAGCATTGCTCTGACAGTCTGTTGGTTCTGTACAAAACTCTTATCTCAATAAACATAATTGCAAACTGCTCCAAGATTTCTGGTTCATAATTTAGAATGCCAAGATGGCTAACATTTTAAAAAAATCCTCCCAAGGAACTTGTTCTCCATAAACTTCTGTCTCTGTGGATAAAAATAGCAGTGCAAGGGTTTTGATTTTTGTGTTAAATCTGAGCATTGTTGGTCCTATGCATTGGATTCAATGCTGGTTGCTTTACCTTGCTGGATGGAGTATTCATATTGAGCTCTTAACACAGAACTTGGTAAAATCTCCTTAAAAGAGGTAGCAGTTCCCACTTATTAAAGCTGAACTTGGATGTTCATTGCTGAAAGCCCAACTTGACAATGACACTGTGCTCAGCCAGCATGGATTTTTTTTTCTTTCTTTTTGCTCATTTAGCAATCTCATTGTACTTTTCATAGGCTCATTAAAGTCTATTTCTTAACTACTGTCATCAAACAACAACAACCAAGCCTGCAGTATTAAAAGCACCACTCACCTGTTGTTCAGTTTTAAAGCCACGAGTTTGCCTTGTATGTACTTCCACCAAGAATCTGCAGCCACGTGAAACCACATACGTTCTATTATGCCTTACAATGATTTGTACTGGATGTCAAAGATCTATTTGTAGTATTCTTTAATATATATCTGAGGCAAATGGATCTATCTCTATGAAGAAACTTGCCTATAATGTCTAATTGTATCTTCTTATTCTGTAGGACAAACCTTGTGATGTATGCGGTGGAACAGGCTTTGTGGAGTTGATTGCTACTTGCTTTCAATGTAAAATAGCTTGGGAACACGTGTATGAATTAAAAGTACTCTCTCTCTCACTCTATCTCTAAGCATTATCGATCTGTCTATCTGTATATTTGTTTTGTCTGTGTTTGTGTGCCTGTATGTGCGCTGACACATGCACGTATCTCCCTGTGTTTTAGTGGCCATGCACATTGATGTATATATGTTCTTATTTTCATTATTTTTATATTTTGGTTCCTATTACTGCTTGTCTAGCTCATATCTTTCTGTTAAAGTTGGACTAAGGAAACTGCAGTTCTGATTTTAAGGTTGTCTTCTGTTTGATAACTTTGTTGATATACGTCTAGAACTTTCTAGAACCATGAGTGCACTCGTTGGAGGAAGAGGGGATTGCTTGTTGTTATTCCCTCTGTTTTCCTATTTAAACGTAAACAGTTAAAAGAACATATTTGGAAAGACTTAGTTCAGATACTTGTTTGCTTAATAAACCTGGTCATTGCTTAATCACATAACCAAATGAGCTTCAGTTGTCACCAACTTCCTAATGGCTGTATAACTTATACCGCTTGATTTGTATCTATATCTCGAAGGGATTGCAGAATATCCATCCTCTTGCTTTTGTTAATATTGAATAATCAGTTGCAGTGTGTTTTTGATTTGTGTATTTTGTATAGCCAATTTGGACACTTATTCCAAACATGTTACTGTTTCTCTTTCCAGCTATTGCATACAGGTCCTCCTTAAATATGTTCCAGAAATTTGGTTTTGTGAGACATGTCGTTCTGGAGATCAGTCACTCAAAAATCTGTTAGAAAAATATTCTTTCAGAAGTCTTTAGGAAGGATCAAACACCTTTGAGATAATCCACTCTGACATGTTGTGATCTGTGGGTTCCAGAAGGCTTGTTGAAGAGTCAGGCAGTTCAGGTCATCTTCGAAAGCGAACTTTCTTGGGAACTGCCAAAGTAAAGTTTATTCCTATTGAAAAAGCTCTTAAAATGTCATCTGGAGCTCAAAAGGTGGAATTGCCCTCACCAAGTAAATTGCACTCAAGCTCTATCTGAATAGATACCAAGGAAACAATGTCTAGAAGGGCTTCCACTGAGTTAAAATCTACCCCTAAAAAAAATTCTTCATAGAAGGTGAAGGAAACTTACAAAAATTTACCTGCTGGACAAGCTCTCTGGACATGGTAGTGAAAAAATCAATTCAATCACTCCTGCACAAGAGCCTAAATCTTGTACTGAATTAAAATGTAAGATAACTCTAACATCTATTGCATGGAAAACTTTTCTAAAAAAATTTGGCAAACACAAGGGTCAAAATTAATTGTTGCAGTATCTCAAATATTTTTATGCATTACATATTGAGTATGCATGGTCTTGATTATAGGCCCACCAGATGGATGGTGACAATGATTGAACAAAGCAGCAGTTAAATTTGACTCTTCTACTCATATCAACTACAAGTCCTCAGCTATATATTAAGCACTGAGAATCAGCACTTGCGTGTGTGTGTGTGTGTGTGTGTGTGTGTGTGTATGCAAGATATATGTTTCTTTATACTTTATATCCACTGTAAATGCTGTAAGTAGGTAATCATGTACCTTATGAATATGACTGACCTTGCAATTTCAGTTTCAGATAAAGCAACCCCTATCGATATAAGATTCAAAATCTTTGCAAGATAGAGTAACTGGATACTTCATGCATCAATTTTCGAGGCAAAAAAAATTTCGATAACTACAGATAATGTTTTGGTGTGCAAATTGGTGCTTTAGTTATGTGATTTTCACTTGCTAATTGAATATGTGTTTTCTCAGGAGGTAATTTATGTGCTGATGCTAAACCCAAGAACTCTATCATTCAAGGATTGGGTCTGCTGAACATTTTGCCCAAACCTCAGATAAATCTTCCAAGGAACCCAGATCTAGATGCTACCTGGTGGTGAGTACCTCATATTTCATGTAGTTGTGTAATAATTTATTTATTGATAAATGCAAAAACCAAGCATGCATGGACCCACAAACACTGCATATCATCTGAGCACAGAACACCACTTTCTATTTTGAAGTTGCCATGATACTGTCAATATATGATAGATTATTAGCATTGGCTAGAGACTTTTATTACTTTACTTTAATTCAACCTCTCTCTTCCCTTTACTGAAGCTCTATCATTGTCGGCGAAACGAGAATTTGTTCATGAACTAGTCCTATAACTTGTATTATAGCTGATTTGTATTTGTTGTTTGATGATTGTGATTAGTGGAAGCCTTGAGATCCTTGATATGGTTTATTGTGGTCAATTTTGTGATGGGTTCCAGGCTCATCTTCCGGGGCCCATCCTGAAACTGTAGAGTATTCAAGGCTCATGCCTAATGTGCTCCAGTGTACGTTGCTCCCTTGTAGCAGTGTATTGGCAGAAATCTTTGAGAATGACAGACCCACTGTAAATGATATGGCACTGTTCTTTTCCCCTGGCGATTTTGAGAGGTCTGTTCCTGAACCAAATCTCTAGTGCTTAATATGCAATTGCTAAATAGATGATCGTATGCTATTTGAGGAAGCCTTCAATTATTTTACGTAGGTCTAAACAACAGTATTTTAGCCTCTTGGGACTTCTAGAGATGCGATATATGGCACTGAGGAGTCATATAAATGGTGTCAATCTATTGATTTCGTCTTCTAAGAGGCTAAATCTAGATTTTTGTGTTAAGTGATAAACCTAATCCAGACTTGACGTGATCTGTTGCTATGTCTCATCTGAGTTTGATATCATCTGTTATCATTATCTTGTATGCATAAATAGCTTATTGTTATTCTTGTAAACTTGTAACTCTCTGTACATGAGTTTAATATATAAATGAGAACTGCTCACCCAGTTTGTGTGGGTTGAGTTTCTTCCATCATCTTCTCTTTTTCAGTAAATGTTATTAAATTTGAGTATAAATCTGAGCTTCTTGGGACTTCATAACATGCACTCAGCCCGTGCGAAATAATTGAAGGCTTTCTTGGGTTTTTGCAATGTAATCTAATCTATTCATTTGTGTCCATGTTTTTGTAGGACTGGAAGTAATGGAACCCTTCCTGTGGGGAGTATATTGCCCTGCAAAAGGCCATCTGGCAGTTCCCTCTCTTCTTTTCTCCGACTCTCAAGAACATGATGCAGCAAAGATTAGCGGCTTTTCTCACAAGTAAAAATGAAATGGACATTGCATTCCTCCTACTGGGGATGCTGCTCATAGGCATAGCATGAGTTAACAAAACCCAGTGATAACTTCGTTGTGTGTTTAAGTAAAATGTTGCAAGGTTCTCTCTAAATCCTCTGTAAGCGTTGCGTTGGAACACTTGCTTTATCTAAATCTTGCTAGTTTTGAGTCTGAGTTGCCAAACAATGGAACTAGAAATGTTTCTACACTGCAAATTTCCCATTCATTAGTAGTAAGTATGACGTACTGAAAAACAGGTAAACTAGAGAAATGGGTTGCGTTATTGGCTCATATATGCTATAAGATGCGTAGTTAGGAGTGATAATCTGAGTCGTGGTGTGTGGGTTAGTGAACACTTTCAAACAACGGATGCATCTATATGACAATAACACCGATATGCATCTATAGTCATAAATTGTTCCTGCACCGAACCGAGAGTAACCATGGTCACTGGAAATTAAAGAGGCTACAATGTAATTAGTAGTGGTGAATGATATTATATTCCTTTTCAAAATACATGAATTTACAAGCAAAAGTCAACCAATTCATAATGCTTGCACAACAGCAAATTACAAATTGTTATTTTCATACATGATATTGGCTCTGAATTCAGGTCCACAAATACTTGTCACATTGATGACATTATTACAATGGACCACGAGAACAACATATAGTGATTTTTTAGTGCTTGAAAATTGAAACATGTTATGTTGGCACCAAACGACCTGGTACTACAATTTTGCTGTTTTTTTTTGCCAGTTAACGTTTAATTTAATTCCCGCCTAAAAAAAAAGCACATTAATTTAACTCATCTATCCAACCTTTGGTTGGTAAACCAAACAAATATGATTTTATCAACCGGAGTCCACACAGCTCGCATGCATGAAGCTTTGTATTAAGGCTCGTGAATAGCGGGTACAATGTACAACACTTAATAGCCAAAAGGCAAATGCCACGACACCCCATCCGTACAGTTGTATTAGTTTCTTCAAAATCTGGTCAAGATACATTCTTTTTAAGAAAACAGACCTTGCTTTGATAATTGCTTTCTCTCTCTGTTCTCTCTCTCTCTCTCTCTCTCTCTCTCTCAGAGTAAGTGAGTTCATGAGCAGCAGCTGCTAGAAGATAGCCTCCACACTTCTTTCAAGACAGGGGAGAGAGGGGACCAAAAAGGGACTGAAAAAAAAATTCAATCCCAAGCAAGCACAATATGGAGCAACCAGAGGAGACCCACATGGTAAATGTATTGATTAACCCTAAAGCTCCTCCTTTTTTGTCTCCTTACTTGTCCATTTGCTGCTGCCGACCCACCCTCTCTGTCCTCCATCTATTATTGTCGGCTCTGTAAATATAATGTTTGATTCATCAGTTTTTCGCATTTCGATGTTATTTAAGTACATTGCAGTTGGAAAGTCTGGTTTTTTACTGTTTATATGGGCCATTGTAGTTGTTTTTTAATTTTTTTTTCAATGCTCTCTTCTAAGTAAATGATGTCTATGTTCTTAGGTATTAAATCACACGTGGGATGGTTGAGAGCATCTCATCCATACTTGATTGAACAACTGAGAAACATGGCCTTGTTTAAATGCCTCAAGGACTGTAGGAGAGAAGTTTTGTGTATTTAAATACAACATATTATACAACTTGATTTCCATCCCAGTTTGTATCCATTAGCATGCCTTTAGCTTTTTTGCAAGTCTGGCTCTTAGTGAGATTATCTAAGGACTGACTAGATGAATAATAAACTACTACAGAAGTTGTGAAAAATGTGGATATGCATGCAGAGTACTATAGAAGAACCATTCAGTCATAGTCATCATAGTTCCACCATGGCTGCCATAATATTTTTCATCAAACTTCACCTCTTTTTCATGCACTGTGTTGTTCACCAAAGATGACATCTCCATGTCCTATATGTACTTCTACTAATTGATAAATAATGCTGGACCGACACTGAGAAACTTTTGCTTAAGTTAAGCTTCAGTTAGCTGAGTTATTTTAATCTTTTCAATGTGATCTGCTCTACTTTTCAGGTCGGACAATGTGATGTGTGTGGTGGTATTACTGATAAAAATCTCATTGCAACTTGCATTAAATGCAATATAAGTACTGAACACGGGTATGACTCTCTCTCTCTCCCTCTTTCTCTCTGCATTTGATTACTTTGTTTGCCTGTTTCAATTAAGAACTGAATAGTATTTCTTCTGCATAATATCAGTGAATCAAAATAAAAAATACAATGAAGGTGAACAATCAGCTCTAATTACAAACGTAATTCAGCAGCTAGCCTTCCAATATGCGCGGATAAAATGATAAAGAAAAATATTATTTCACAAAATTCAGTAGAAAAACCAAATCCCACGAAGTTGGTAAAAAATGAACTTATCCCACAAAAGATTTTAAATTCCTCTCATCACCATTGTATGCCCTTCCATGCATGGTATTTTGAACCACAAGTTAGTTGGTTTGATCTCTAGTTTCTTCCCCTGTTCAGTTGCTGAATTATTTTCGTCAGTTCAGTTAGACATTTTCAAAAAATATAGCTGCTCGGGAGGGGTGAGTTCAGTTATCGTAATTTATTGTGATATCTCCGTTTCAGTTATTGCATGCGGATTCTTCCAATGGAATTTCCAGATGATTGGGTATGTGAATCATGTGAAGTGATTTCTCCAAAACCTGATAAGGAAGAAGACATAATGGCATCCTCTGCTGATTTAGTTCACCATGATGCCATGCATCCAGCCGGTCCCAGCAGAGTTCTTGATGATTCAGGGTGGCAAGCTCATTCCAGAAGGCAAAAACCTGTTGAGACTGGAAAAGTTAAATTTATTCCAAATGAAGAAGTCATCAGGCTATCATCAGGAGTTAGATCTCAGCGAAGTACTTTCGGCTCCAAACCTCGTCAGTTAAATTTCATGGCACCTATCCCAATAAGGACTCCTTTTGGGTCTAGAATTGTGACTCCAAAGTTTCCTATGTCTGCGATCAAAGCAAATCCTAGCATTATGTCTTCAAGAACTGTGAACCCTCCTAGATGTGGCGGGAGTGTCAAAATGCAAAGCATAGCAAAGATTATTCAGCAAACATCTCCAATTTTGCAGGATTCAGAAGGTGACAAATATTTTAATCTAATCTCTTAAGAATTTGTGTCTAATAATGGCTAATATTCCATTAGAGAAACAGAGATAGAGGTGTGCATATCACTGTGCTGGTTGTAAAATTTGGCTAATATGTGCCTACAGGAACTATGAATATGTCTGTTTTCTAACTGTCCAGCATTCAGTCCCATATAGCATGGCTAGTCAAACAGATGTTCTATAAACTTAGCTTTCAATTCTAGCAAAGTGAGATGATAACGCTATATATGTGCTTAACAAAACCCTCCATTTTACCTATCGTGCTTTGATTCTATGAGCCACATCATCTCCATTCTCCCCTTGTATATATGGATGATTGAGTACATGCTAGATAGTGAAACTTTTTGCTTTTTGATATACTATTACTGGTGCAATTGGTTGCTCTTACTGGTGCAATTGTTTGCTCTTATTGGTGCAATTGTTTGCTCTTATTGGTGCAATTGCAATTGGTGTATGGTAACGATTTTATGTGGATTGTTTGGGATGCCTTAGACAAAGATTTTTACTATCAGACTAGATTTTTAGCCTTTATTAGACGTCTTAGACAAAGTATTATAGAGATATTTTTCTTAGTTTAATTCATTATTCATCTTGATCAGAGGGGGAGCTATGAGTTGAAGTAATATGTTCTTTTGTTGGACAATTGTAAGTACGATTCTCTTTCTTGTAATTTTCTTTCTTTGTTTTAATGAAAGTTTGTAACTTAAATTTGTGTTTCTTATAAAAAGAAAAATTATAAATTGCTCTTAATGTAGAGTTCATGCAATAGAATTTGGTTAGTAAAAGTGTTGAGAGACTTCTTGTATCTACTAGCTTATTTTGTTCAAAATATTTTGGATGTGTTATTAAAAGTGTGAAGATAGCATTTTATTCCTATGATAAATGGATGCTATATGTGCAATGCTTATGATCTCTTATCTCTGTTATAGGAGAAACAAAGACTTCCGTAGCTTCTGGAAATGAGCATATTGGGGAGAAGCAATTAACGGATGTCTTAGTTGGTGAAACTTCTTATAAGAAGATGGAGTCCAAAACAGGAAAGGAGCCACTCACAGTTTCAACAATGAGGCACTCATCACCTATTTCCAGTCCAGGCAAGGGTTATGACTTACAAATTATTATTATTTATTTTGGAACTGCAGAATTGGTTATTCTTTAAGTCTTCTTTTAAGTTTGATAAAATTGGTAATATATTTAGGTGTTATTTTTGGGTGTCCAATTCTTTCCTAACAAGTTAAGAGTATATCTTCGCAACATTGAAATTGTAGCACAGTTGTGACTGTGGTGGGTAATTTTGTTGCTTGGCATTTATTGAACCTACCTTCCTCCCTTTGTAAATTATGTGGTAACACTTGTGTTGTTGAACATAATCATGCAGATAGTGAAGAAAGAGATCTCGTGAATATTTTTGATAGTCTCAATCTAAAGCCTTCGAATCTTCCTGCTCGAGATGCTCCTTGGAAGTGTTGGAAATTTAATAATTATAATATTAATTAAATATTATAATATTTAAATTTATGGTTGAGTGAAAATATACAAGAGTCCGTTTTGCTATCAAAAGTTGTGTCTATTGATGAATACCTGATGGGTTCTATATAAACCCATTACCTTCTTCTTCACGATATAGGAGTTTTTCCCCACCCATGATATGTTAGAGTATCAATCTTCAAGTTTCCTTCCTAAGTGTTTTGAGAGTACAAATATATAATTGGTTCGCCAGAGTCTTAAATTGAAGTGCTTCAATTTAGGATTATCGATTGTTGAATCCTGGGAGACGGACGCCTTTAGAACTGTGAGCACAAGGGCAGGGGCGAAATCTGTCTTTAGGACATTGCAATTCTTGCAAGCCTCAATCGCTAAAGTTGTTAGTATTTCTACTTGTGTTTGTTGATTTACATTAATTTCATGTAAATTTGTTATTGTATTTGATTATTACAATTTTATTGAGAATTATTATTATCTTTAAATTCATATTTCATATTGTTCCGCCAACAGGAAGTGGGTAACTTCTCATTTTAAGATGTTACATATGTGTATTCTATCATGATTTCGCCAACTCATGTTTTGATTTGAATTAGAGTTAGTATATTGTTTGGTATAAAAAGTTGATGAGAAAAATGTTCCTTAAGAATATGTGTGAGATTTTTTTTTTCCAACTTAAATCTTCTAGGTGGGTTCGCGTTGCATCCTATGTTGATGTTCTGAATGCACTGTTTTGTCATGGCTGCTGTTTTACATATTTACATATATCAAGTTATTTAAGTGCTCTCAAAAGCTTCATTGATGTTTCTTTCTTTAGGGGAGGCTTCATCCTTGATGCAGCCACACCTGGAGAATTCATTGGTGGGTTCCAAGCACGACCTCCATGTAAGGTCCATCCTAAAGCCTATGCATTTTCACAAAAAATGCCTCTCATCCTCAATGCTAAGTGGCTTCCTCGATCCAGTATTTGGACTGATATCTTCCAAGACGATGACCCTGTCCTTGAAGATGTTGCCCTTTACTTTTTCCCTGATGAAAACATTGAGAGGTATTTTTTGTCTTCTGGTTGCATGGTTTTGATATTTGAGTTTTGCTGGTGATGCAACTATCATAACATTTTGTCCCTACTGATTTGTAGATCAAGAGAGAACCATGCTCGGCTGATTAACCGCATGGAGAACCAAGATTCAATGATGCGAATTTGCTTTGATGGCAAGGGGGTGGAGTTGCTGATATTTACATCAGGAAGTCTACAGTTAGACTCACGGGGTTAGTTTTTTCTTATAAATTTCCTCCTCTCTTGCAATGACTTCAGCTTTCTTTTGTGTGTAGTCCATTTGGATTACCTTTTTCGGATTTTTTATTTAGATTGTTTCTGTATTAGATGCATTGCTTATCTACCATTAACATTCTGGTTCATGTCAACAGTGGCAGACTTCTTATGGGGAATCTTTCGTTGTATAAAAAAGGATGTTGCTCATAATAAGGTACATGAAGGACTCCCGTCAACGGTCGATAAAGAAAACGTGGATGACAATAAGACTCTGGATATGGAAGTTGACATGGTAGGTGGAAAGATGGCGGGAAGAGTTGATATAGTGGTTCCGAGGGATTCAAAGGTTATCTGGAACACTAAATCATCATCAGGTACTACTTATAAACCTTGATATTCAATCCTTAAACAAGAACTTTCTTTTGATCTATCAATGGAACATACTGATGCTGCTTATCCTCAACCTTTGTCAGAAATGAAGACCACATGTGGCTTGCAAAAGAACTTGGGCAAAGACGAGGATAAAATACCCGCTGAAACAGAGGAGGAGGAATCGGCAGGCCCACCAGGTTTTTCATGAGGGCAGCCCTCAAAGTGCTACTGGTTCAACTGAGGGAATGACGGACATCTTCAACTGTTAATTAACCATGGAGATTGAAACTGCAGCTCAAGAGTCATCACCAACTTTTAACCAGACATAACCACAGTAGACTAGATAGCTAGCTTTCAACAAAAAAATATATAAACCCATTAAAGAAAAAACAGAGTCCTCTGTTTGTAGTGCCTCTTACTTGTATTGGATCTTTTTGGTTTGGTTGTGTCTATTATTACAGAGCCTCCTTCCATTGACCTAAACATGGCATTGGCATGTGCATGCTCGCTCTTCCATGTTTTTGCAATTTCTTGTGCACAACAACAGTCAGGGACCCAAATTTGATGTGAGATTTATTTTCCTTGTCCATCTTACACATAATTTGAAGAACATTCAATCTTGGCATCTCGGTTTGATGATAGAAGATGTATTTAACAAGGTTGATGCACTAACTTTAGTTATTTGTGAATTCTCTACGTGAGATCCTAATATGCTTGAACATATTTGATGGAAGTTTTTCTCGTTGGAGCTTTTAGCTTGTAACTTGCTTGGTTGACTTGTCTCACATAAGATCAAAGTTCTTAGTTATGATGGCAGTATGGAGTGCTGCCTTTTTCAGGCATGAGTTTGGAAGCCTTTTATCCAGCTATTGATGATGGTTTCTATACTATGATTGGAGAAGGAGATGCAGACTATTTGGTTTATTTCACCTTAATTCCAGATGTCGATCCATTGTGTTTAGATATGCATTATCTAATCTAACCCTGTTTCTATGTGTTTGTTATTTTGATTTCGATTGTTTCTTTCACTTATGATTATGTGTTTGCTATTTTGATATCGTTTCTTTGAACTTAAATTCGAGATCCCGATCTAGTGTGTTTAGTTTTAGTTTTGCATTTCTCACGGCAACAAATGGTAAAACTCTAATTGAAAGAATAAAAAATTTAGAAAAGAGATGAGTTGCAGACAATAACAACGTCGATCTCTTCTCTCGCTCTCTCTTTAACTAACTTTCTCTCAGTGACTCGCTTCCTCTCTTCCTTTAAGGCCCCAAGCCCAACACACGCTTTCTTCATTTTATTATTATTTTTCCTCTTTTCTTTTTCACTTTAATCTTGTGGACACCAACAGTCAAGGACCAAAAATTGATTTGAGATCTATCTTCTTGTCCATTTTTCTCACAAGATTCAACCTTTATATTTTCGCGACTATGTGAAATTATTTGTGATATCATTAGAAGATGCATTTAAAATAGGTGATGCAACACTTTCAGAGAAACTAATAACATGGTTGCAAAATTCAAACACGAACGTATATGCTCCTATTGGGTTTGATCAAATTCCCAATAATTTGAATTGCTGGTTAGGTTTTGATCAATCCTCGCAAATTTCATCGGATGGCCCAATTTGGAAATTTTAAACTTGATTTATTAATAAAGTTAAAAAGGAATAAAATAAAAGAACTTAAAGTTAAAAAGAAAAGTGGAAAAGAAACCCCAAAAAATAAAAATAAAACAAAGTGTGGGAAGTCCAAACCAAAGTACAAAGACCCATTTATGACCAAAAAAAGTACAAAGACCCATCGGAACACAGATTTTCTGTTATTTTTATACAGTGGGTTGGATCAGTTCCCGCTTTCTGGGTTTCAGAGAGAAGGAGAGACGATGGAGGTTGCTGATGGTGTTGACTCTGAGAGCAAAATTCAGCAGAGGAGAATGAGGAGGGTGGGATTGTTATACGACGAGAGGATGTGTAAGCACTCTACACCCGACGGTGGTCAACATCCAGAAAACCCTGATCGAATTAAGGTCATCTGGAACAAGCTCCAAGCAGCTGCCATTCCTCAGAGGTACAGTACTGACATATATGCGTATATACATGCGTGTTTGGCGGCTGAGAAAATAAAAAGATCAAGGGAAATTGAAAGAAAGAATGAAGTTTTACATGTCTTTGTAATATCTAGTATTCATTTAGCTTATCAAGTTCAGTAATTTTTATAGGCTGCTGCTTCTACTGCTGTGTGTGAATTAGCAGAGAAATAATCTCATTTTTCTAGACTCTAGTATTTGGTGCTTAAATGCAATCATATTGGTTGGAATTTAAGGGAAAATAATCCTGAAAGATTTTCGAGGTTGACATTTTTTGTCTTTGCGGTGTCTGGGATATAATAGAAAATGGGGTTTGAGCATAATTAAATTGTGTTATGGATGTGTGTGCATACAAATATATGAATACATACATATATTGATACATATATGTCGTGGGAAAGATATTGCTTGGTTGGCCGTTTGTTGAAACCAATTCTGAATTCTATTGGATGCTTATCCTTTCTCAGGTGTGTTATTTTGGGTGCCAAAGAAGCAGAAGACAAACATATCTTGTCAGTTCACTCCAAAAACCATGTTAATCTGATTAAGAATATAAGCTCCAAACAGTTTGATTCACGACGAAATCGGGTTGCATCAAAATTTAATTCCATATATTTCAATGAAGGATCATCTGAAGCAGCTTATCTTGCTGCGGGCTCTACCATAGAGGTAATTCGTGTGAGGAGTACACCTCCATAAGGTTTCTAATAAGTGCATTGATAACAATTTATGCTTGTTTAGCTAGACCACATCTTTTGTCTGTTCTTTCTTAAAAATTAAAAACTGAGCATCTAAGAAACACCTCTGGTTTGCATATTTTATTTTCATTGCCTTGACTAATTAAAACATGCAAAAAATATTATAGGACTTTTGTGTCGTTTAACTTTTGGGCCTGAATTTTGAATTTGTTTGAAGGGACAAGTAGAATTTCCTTATACTATGAAAACAAATACATGAAAATGTTGATTTCTGCATTTATATTTGATTGTGTCTTCTTCTGAACTTCTGGGTAAAGGCTTTTTCCCCCCTCATTTGGTTTATGCATTGTGTAAATATGAATTCAACCCATGATTTGCAATTTCAGAATCTGTTACAAATGAAGCTACTTCCGCATGTTTCATCTAAGTGTATGTTTCCTACAAATACACTTATGTGTTATACTTCATATTAATGTATCCTAACTATGGGTGTTCACTTAAATAGGTAACTGAAAGAGTTGCCAAAGGAGAACTGGATTCTGCCATGGCTATCATAAGGCCTCCAGGACATCATGCTGAACAAGATGAAGCAATGGGATTTTGTCTGTACAACAATGTAGCCATTGCAGCACGTTTCCTTTTAGATGAAAAAGTAAGACTTGCCTTATAGTTATTCAACAGTTAGAAATTTTAGACCTTGTAGTTTCCTTTTTTTATTTTTTGCTTTCTAGAACATGGAATAATAATTTTAAAAATTCAACTCTGCTTTCCACTTTTATTAAGTTGTCACCTGAGGACATCATGTTCATACTTGACAGCCAGAATTGGGCATCAACAAAATTTTAATCGTTGATTGGGACGTGCATCATGGTAATGGTACTCAAAAGATGTTCTGGAAGGATCCTCGTGTTTTGTTCTTCTCTGTTCATAGGTATGCCAGAATTTTGAACTGATACTCATTCTTTTGCTTGATCATTTAAGCTTATGAAGTTAGATTTCTTCATGTAGTGCTGTTAAGATCTGCTGCATGACATTCCTTTGTTGTTTTCTTGAATTAGAAGTTGCTATCAAGAGGATTTTTACGCTTCCAAGGATTCTGTGGCATAACAATTTCTGACCTTTGCATTCTATCGAAAGTTTTTATCATTGGAGCTTTTAGATTGTAACTTGTTTGGTTGACTTATGTCACATAAGATCAAAGTTCTTAGTTATGATGATGTATGAAGCTGTGCATTTTTCAGGCATGAGTTTGGAAGCTTTTATCCAGCTACTGATGATGGTTTCTATACTATGATTGGAGAAGGACCAGGAGCAGGATACAACATTAATGTCCCTTGGGAAAATGGTCGGTGTGGGGATGCAGACTATTTTGCAGTTTGGGACCATATTTTGGTTCTTGTTGCCAAGGAATTTAATCCTGACTTAATTATAGTCTCTGCAGGATTTGATGCAGGTTGGTGGATTAACCATTTCTGTTGAACATAGTTTTCCTTATACCTTCTGTTTTTCTGACTAGTAGAGGTTTGTAATTTGTTGAGTTGTGAAGATATCAAATAGTATTTCATAAAAGAAACTTACTCAACTCAAGAGTAGTCATCTCATAAAAATTTAAATACCATCTCAACATGATTTTTTTCTTCTTCTAATGGGAAGGGGGACGGGGTGTTGTTATGAAGCTATGTATTATCACTAATTATCCCAATTTCAGTAGTTGTTAATTTTGTTTCATTTTTATCATTTGGAGAGGGCCACTTTTAAAATCAATGCAGTGGAAAGAATGCAATCTTCTGAAGAAAGTTGCTGGGAAGTTAAGATATTTATTTCTTCTATATGTAACTCTTTAAGTATCATAATTTTTTTTTTCAAATGAATTTGCTTGAAACAGCTGCTGGTGATCCTCTAGGGGGTTGTCGTGTCACGCCATATGGATACGCAGTTATGTTGAAGAAGGTCGTTTTTACAGTTTAATGTTATTTCTCTTTTCTCATTAATCTGGCCTTGATTATTTCATCATGTTTGAAATATTTTGAATTTGTGATGCCGTTTTTTCCCCTTTTCCTCTCTAGCTTCCTATTACTGTTGGGCTTGTCTCTCCAGTTCAATAAATTCCCCGCAATTTGGTTTGGAGTGATTCTTTGGGTAATTTTTAGATGCTGTTGTGATTATATTACTTTTAATGTCCTTCAGTTGATGGATTTTGCCCATGGTAAAATCGTGTTGGCTTTAGAAGGAGGATACAATCTTGAGTCTGTGGCAAATTCAGTTCTTGCTTGTGTTGAAGTTCTGCTAGAGGACGACCCTATTCATGGGTCTTCAGAGGCATATCCATTTGAATCTACATGGAGTGTGATACAAGCGGTAAAATGACGTGGTACCTTTTTGGGTTATTATTTATCCTTTTCTTCCTCCTGTTCTTTCTAGCTTTTTTTTTTTTGGTCTGAACCTGTTCTTTCTAGCTTATTATTATTTATTGTGAGTCATTGGTAATATGCTTCAAAGTTCTTTGTTTCTCTAATGCATATGTAATCTTCTTTCCAGGTTCGCCAGAAACTAAGTTCTTTCTGGCCATCACTTGCAGATGAATTACCAGAGAAGCTAACCAATAAAAAAGCGCCTCCAGCTGCTGTACGTTTCCTTTTCTCTCATCAGTACTTTTTTGTTTATTGCTTCTGATGTTGAGTAGTCAATACTTCTATTCAAATATTTGATTATTTCCCAAAAAGCTTTTATTAAACAACTTAGGAACGGACTTCTCTCTCTTCTTTCGATACTTGGTAGCTATTTCTTTTGTTCCCCACAAATATTGCTAAGATATTTGTTTTGCCATTCTAGTATATTCTGACCTCAAGCTCTGATTCTGAAGAGGAGGACTACGAAGCTCCAAATGCCATATCGAAACATCTTGAGGAGGTTCTTCAGGATGTTATAGAGCCCCTTTCAAAGTTGAAAATTAACGAAAGTATTCAGGGTAAATTGATGACTCAGATTCAGTAAATGCTTTTAATGTTTGTTTTAGTTCATACGATAGCTGTTAACTGAATTCAGATCATGCGGCAAGCAATTCTAACACCTGGAGATCAGAGCTTTCAAAGGTTGATGTCTGGTATGCTACTTTTGGATCAAATCTGTGGTTGAAAAGATTTCTTTGCTATGTTGAAGGTGGACAGGTAATACGCAATTCCAAAAAAAAAATTCTAATATTTATGTTAAATATGAAACAGATTTTATTAACACCTGCTTCTTCCTGTACTTTATTTTTAAACTTCACTTTTTGGTTTTCAATAAAAATCGGTGGCAGTCTTTTAGATGAATAGGAAATGTTACAATGTGGTTACTTCTAAATTCTGATGTCTTGCCCCTCATGTTTTAAAACTACCTTTTCTTTTCATTCTTGTCTCCATCTGCAATATGATTTTCAGGTGGAAGGTATGAAAAAGCCATATCTTGGTTCGGGGGATAAAACTCCGCCAAAGGAGATTATGTGGAAGACTTTCCCTCATCGCTTATTCTTTGGTCGTGAATTTACACATACATGGGGACCTGGAGGGGTTGCATTCCTTAATCCTAAAAGCAACATCCAGGATAAGACTTATATGTGCCTGTATAGAATTACGTATGTTTTCTTGTGACTCAACTCTGTCCTATTGTTTATCTTTTGCTTTCTGTGGATTTCAATTTCTGTTCAAGCATGGCACTTTAAAAAGTGGATTTTCCACTTGCCTGAATCCAACGGAGTTGTGTTTTAAACTCATTTGTTCTCTCACAGGCTCGAGCAGTTCAATGATGTACTGGTTCAGGAAAATGTTGCAAGTTTTGCCACCAGCTCTCCTTTGTTTGACTTGGCTGCTTTAAACTCAGTCACAAGTGAAGAGCCTCATTCTCTTCAGGTTCACTCAGAGTTAAAGGTATCTGAATTTGTTATGCTTTAGTGTTTTAAAATGCATTAAGCATATTCCTGTTTGTTAAACTTACTGTGTGGATGTGGTCGGTTTTGTTTCAGAGGTGTTGGTACGGAAATCTCGTCTACTTGGGCAAGGAGAGTAATATTCCGATACTGACTATGACGTATGCATCAAAGCTTGCCATTTTTGTCTTCTCTTTGATTTTTCTTTTGTCTTTTTCTTGGTGTTGGCTTGTTGATTTAATTGTGAACTCTGTATGAATTGTAAAGAACTCAATCCTTTGATTTTTTAAATTAATAATATGCAGGTGTACACAATCAGACATGGAGGGCTTCAAATCTGGAGAGCTTGCCGTGTGTGCTCCGGCCAAAAATTATGCCAACTCAATAGTGAGAGGCCTGGTGGAAGGCAAACAGCTCTCACAGGAGGCGGCTATGGCTTACATACAAGAAGCTTCTACTAAACCATTGTGATGGAAACTTTTCATCCTTGCAGTATTTGTAAATCTAGCATAGTAGAATTATTCCTGATGCTGGAAACATCAATTTATGGTCTCCTGGAGGCCAAGCTTGCAATCTAGTTGACATGTTCTATTCTTCGATATTGATGCGGTAGATATTACCTTGAAACGGATCATATTGGTGTTGCTCTGCCTTCCAAGCAGATTATCAAATTATGATTATCATTTCTTTATTAGTAACTTGGGACAGATGTATATTTCTTATGGGAGTTTCAAAGCTGTCCATGGTTCCCATGAAGACAAATAGTTGCCATTGATGATCATTCTGGTGCCCTCTTTGTATGCTTTATGAAGGACACAGATCAAGACATACTCCTCCACAGCAGAATAAGTGTTGGACAAGAGGAATTGAGCAAGGACTTGGCGATAACCTTCCATGTCGTGATGAGAGATGTAGAGAGATGGGGTACTACACCCGTGACAGCGAAGTTCTTTTCCAAGAACCTGACCTATATATTACCAGTAGCCATAAAGAACCATAAAAGTAAAAATAATTCAGAGGCTGCCAAATGATCTTGCATAGAGTCCATTTTTTGACACACATTAGTTTTTATAAGTTGTACAGGTAGATTTTGATTCTGTCTTGAGTTAGAAGAACTATCAAGTCTGCTGCACCCTTGTACAGTAAGAAACCATAAACGTGAAAAAAATCAGTAACATTAAGAATAAAAGGACTTCAGATAAAGAGGAGTTGAGTGGCTATGAGTTTTAAGTGTGTAATGCTTGCTCATAAATCTATGGAACCTCGAACATAGTAGAGAAACAAGGCCACTCTGTTTAATTTCTACATTATGAAAAGTTCTTTGTGCCATCGTCATTCTTCCCGTGAATGCAATACTCATATTTATTATTGAATAATTCAATTTCGAAACAAAAAAAACATGTAGGAATAAGGTCACTAAACATCAAAACATCAAATTATGAGACTCCAAACCCAACTTGGCCTTTTTTGCAGCTTCTTAAATTTTGCAACAATCATTTAGTTCTCAATTTTGCCGTGTTAGGTTGCATTGGTGAATCACAGTTTATTGCAGTGTGGTGAAACAGATTGCCAGAAGTATTTTAGGAGAAGCAAACCAAACCTCTGCCTCGAAACAGAAAGAAAAGCATCATGACTGATAAAAGTGACAGGGCAGGGTTTTTGCGGCGATATTTAGAGTTATAGCAAAGGTTTCTCACTTTGACGAAAATAAGTTTAAAAAGTTTTAGCGACAAAAAAAAACGGCCGCCAAAAACTGATCAGCGTTGCTAATAAATTGTTATCGACGGCACTGAAAACCGTCGCTAAAAATAGCCAAATGAGGTTCGTTAACCTCCGATGCTATTCAAACGTACATATTCAATAAATCCTTTCCAACCTCTGTATCGGTATTCCATTTGACAGTAAAATGTTTTTTCGTCCAAATTATTACTAGGATACATGATACAATGCCCCAATCTATTCAACAATGGGGAATGGACTGGGAAAAAAGTTTTTTATGCGGCACTCTTGACTGAGGAATTCCACAGCCATGATAAGAGTTCAACATTCCCTGTGAACCTCCAGTCATCCATATGCCTCTTCATTGCTTCCCGCCAGCCTTTGTACCTAAAAGTTCACAAAATTAAATGGAACATCACAAAAATATTTGCTATCATGTCCAACATCCATTTAATGGGGAACAGAACTATTGAAAATTTTAAAATGCGACATCCATATTAGAATAAATGGGTAAAACGAAAATTACTGCATAAAATTTCCCTCCCCGTCTTGGGGAACATGTTCAAATGTCAGTGTGGAATACCAATCATATTACTAAAGCTAAATGGTTGCAATTGATTCTGGTGCCTTTACAACCCCCTCCTTTAAATGCTTTGTACAGAGCTAAAGATCTATGCACACACTCTCTTCTACGACAGAATACAGAATTAGGGAGAGGAATTGGACAAGGACCTGATCTATTAATAATTACCATAGAGAACCATGACAAAGCAGAGGCTGCCAAAAGATCTTGCACACAACACTACTCTCCTTGAACACTAAACTTATGGATACAGTTCTAAAATTTCTAGCATTGTGTTATAACTATAAAGTCTATTGCCCACTCCGCACCATAAAAAAAAACATCAACTTGAAAGGATTGAACAGCATTTCAAATGCATCCAATAAAAATTTCAAACCTTCCAACCACAGCATTTTGCAAGATAAACCAGTCTTTGAAATTATGCCAATTATAAAGATTTATAAATAAATGTTCCAAAATTTTCTCAACATACAAGTTGCAATCCGACAATTTCATTCCTTTTTCTGCAGACATAGTTGAATTCACAAAAAATTATGAACAAAACCAAAAGATTGCTTGGGATACATGCCCTTTGCGATAAAAGAGAATCCTTAAATCTGTACCACCCATTTAGATTACCAAAAAGAATGGGGTGCTTCCTGCAGAGACCTTTGACTATTTCTGTAACTTATGAAAATGAAAGAATGCTCACAAATAAAGAATTGTCGCCGATCAGCAACTACAATACTCTTCTATGGTTGATAATTTAATCACATCAAGCATTCAGCAACTGTTCCCCTCATCACTTCAGCTTAGCATGTCCAGTATCACCCAAATGCTTATGTAACTTGTTTCTGTCATGATAAAACCATCCAAATCCAACTAATTAATATCTACAGCAGCCAAGTATGGTTGACAGTCAGATGTCAAGGCAGAGCAACCAGAAGTGGAATAATGCATTGCATCAGAAGAGACATAATTAATTACCTTGTGTCGAACTCCTCTCCGCATGTGTCACACAGATTGCTAGAATTCTTTGATGCTGCCTGATTTGGGAAACAGAATGAAGCAAGAATTAACAGCAATTAATAATATTAATACGCACCAACATCCATTATGTGGGAAACTAAGAGACCTAATTTTGGCTAAATCAAGCACCTGGAACGTGACACCTAAGAAAAATCTCTGTATAATAGATTCAGAAACTAAGTGTTGTGTCTAGTCCTCGCTAGTTTAACTTAAAAACAATGAGCAACCGTCACTCAGATAAGAAGCTTTTTTCAAGTTCCATCTAAGCACATCGTCGTACATCCAGTTCTAAACCAGGGGTAGAAGATAGTAGCAACAAAAAATGGTAAGGGAAAAAGTATTATCTTAATCTTCTTTGAATTCATACAGAATATCTCTAATCGTCGTTTTTGTTACCTAAGTGCATCAGCAACTGCAGATTGAACAATTGAAAACAAGGAACATACCATACAAGCAGTTAGGAATCAATCTGAGATGTATATCTTCACATTATAGTCTGCTTATCATAAGTTCGGTTATAAAGCAACAACATTACCTTGGGCTTCTTCCCTCTAGATGAGTTCTTTGATTTGCTGTTTGCCTCTTTCTTCACATTCTCTTTCTTATCAACGGGTTGGCTTGAGCTCTTTTTCTTTCTTGCTAACTGATCATCCCCTTTACTCTCTTTTTTTACAAAAGAATGAGATGCGGATTCTTCTATATGTGAATTATCATGTTCATTAAGCTCCTCACCCCGATCACTATTAATTTCACTTCTACCAACCTTTTTAGTTTCTCCACTACTCTTCTTACTCCTATCTTTCCTCGCTCCTCCTTTCCTTCTTGTACTCTTCCGGTTATCATATTCCATAAACTCTACCTCATTGTCATCATTCTCCGCATGAATATCAGTCACGAAGGAATCCTCTTGTTCAACCCTCAAAGCTGCATTTTTCCTACTGTTTCGGCCAGCCAACATTGCTTCCAGAACACCCATCTCATCTTCACCATCATCTCCATCCAATCCAACTGCCTCATCAACCTTTTCCCTCTCATTTTCATCACCAACTTCATAAAACTTATCCTCCCTATCACTCACTCCTACCCCATTTTCCTCCTCCCCAATCTTCAACCCTTCCCTAATCCCCTCACCTAATTCATCAGTATCAACCCCATCAATATCATCCACCTCACCCCTTTCTTCAACCTCTCCTTCCAAAATCTCCTGAGCATCAAACTCTTCATCCCCAACTGACTCCCTAAACTCTGCAACCTTATCGCGGTGCTTCTTCGACTGCTCGTGATTCTTCCACTGCTTCTCACTCTTAAACTTCTTCCCACATACGACACAATACAATTCCTTCCTCCTCCTCTCCTCCTCCTCTTCCTCCATTTCCTCAACCCCATTTCCTCCTTCCTCTTCCTCAACCACTTTCGCCCACTCCGGCTCCTCATACGCCATAGCTCTCTCCAATTTCTCCTTCTCCAACTTCTTCTTCTTTTCTCTCTCTTCTTCCCTCTTCCTCTCCCTCTCCTCCTCCCTCTTCACCATCATATCCATCACCCTCTTGTCCCTCTTCTTCACAAATTCTGCCAAACCCCGCACCGTGTCGTTGTACTCTCTCTTCGCCTTCTTCCTCAGCTTCTTGTTATCCTCCTCCATCAGCCTCCTCACCTTCCGGTTCGGGCCGCTCATCACATCATACTGGTCCACCCAGAAAAAGTCCATCACCGTACAAAAGCCCAACCAGTAGTTATAAAACGCCGTCACCTGCGCGTAGGGACTTTCCAAATTCCCCATAGCCGGAGCTTCACGCACCGTGTCTAACCCTAACCCTAATTTACGAACGTAGCTGAGCTCGTTGGCGTAAATTTTATTGAAAACATCGGCGTAGACCTTGTAGAATCCGCGACCGGAGTCGGAGTAGCCGGAGAATACGGTGGTGGAGAAGAAGGAGAAGAGGTTGGGGATGACCGAGTCCGGGACCGAGTTGGCCGAGTTGGGATCGGCGAAGAGGATTTGGGAGCGGTGAGAGTCGTACCAGGCTCGCTCTTTAGGGTCGGAGAGAACCTCGTAGGCCTGGCTCAGCTCCTGGAACTGAGCCGTGGCTTGGGCCTGGGACAAGCCGGATTGGACGAGCTTGTCCGGGTGGCGCTGCAGAGCGAGCTTCTTGTAAGACGAGCGGATCTCATCGGGTGAGCAGTCGCGTGCGAGACCTAAGACCTCGTAGTGGCACCGCCTCTCCGACGATGCCATGTTTGATCGATGATGTTCCTCTTCACTTGTTTACCCAATTGTTCGGATTTGACAGCTAAATTTAATATTTAATTATGGGTTTTAACGGGGGTACTTGTGTCTTTATGTCCTGGAAGCAAACTTACGTCTGTAGACCTAATTTAATAAAATTAAAATTAAAATATACAAAGACGACCCAATAAACTTGGATTTTGAAGAAATGGGCCAGCAGACCCACGTTTTCAATCAACACTTACTGGCCCAAGACGAAATAGCAGAGGAGTGACACCGAAAAGAAAAAAACAGTTTACTCGGTTCTTTTTCCTACTTTGACTAGTCTTTTCTTAAAAGAGGCTTTTGAAACAAATAATTAATCATAATAAAATGGTAAAACAAAATAATTAAAGTAGTTAATCAATTTTTGACAAACATGTCAATTATGTTTAGTTACACAGAGCTCATTCTACTCTAGATTTAGGCCAACAATCAAGGGAGGAAAACTTAATTGCAACGGGGATAACACTGTTTTGTTTTCCTCAATTAATAATGTTGGTCTTTCTCCAACCAGGGGTCTATTGTTAGCAGACGAGAGGAAGAATTGTAAGACAAAATTTGGCAGGGTTTTATCCTAGCATTTGATGCAATTACAAGCAAATTGATATCGGCCTCCATATAAAACTTTAATTTTGGTAATTTGACTATAACTTGATTCATCAAATGCAAAGAATTTAGTGGGTAAAGTGGCCATGTGTCTTTATATATCTTTAAAGATTGTATGTTAAAACTATTCTCAATTAATAAGAGATTTAAGAATAATGTTAGGGACTAAATTTGAGTCCCAAACTATGTGATATGTGCCATGTCATAAAGGGTAACCAATTCCAACTTGTATTATGATTTAGTTTATTTCTTGTAGAAAAATAAATAAATTAAGACCTGTAGTTAGCCATAAACAATCATCTTCGAGGCTTGTTGCTCCAATTTTGTTCTGCTTCACCATTGCATTGCTTTACCGACTGTTGCGTGGTCTTGCCAACTGTTGCGCTACCTTGCCCCACCGTGACCATATCAAATTCTTTTAACGGGTTTATTGGTCATGAATCAAGATGAACCAAGATACCTTGAAATTGAAGTGACAACCTCTCGAGAGCATTCGTTAAAAGATACGTTCTAATGTTATTAGTAGTGTTTTATCTAGAACTTTAAGTTAATGAAGTGTTATTGTTAGCATTATGCATTCCTCTGTTATTGTGACTCGTGAGGAGCTATCTTTAATCTAGTTATCGTCGTTATTGTGCTACAATGAACCACTAAACCACGATCAAAATTTATCCATCATAACCATATTAAAATATTAAAAAAATCCATTAAAAGAATTAGCCATGGTTACCATTGATATAGTGCAACATAACATGCAACGGCCGAAAAGACAACACATCAGTCAACAAGCCTTGGTGATGGTTGAATGACAATACGACAAGAAGTTTGATGTTTGGCTAGTTTCAATACTTTGATTAATTATGTTTTAAGCTTTTTAATTTTTGTTCATAAAAAAAATTATCATCATATAAGTTGGAATTAGTTAATTAAATATTTAAAACATGTGACGTGTCACATTATTTGAGACTCAAACTTAGTGTACAAATTGGTGGTCCCTAACATTATTTATAGTGCAACTTTAGTTTCATCCTTCTTTCAATTTAATCAATCAACAAATTATTAGTTATATTTTAGAGTGTTTTAGTCCAATTGGATGACAAACAACAACTTAAATTCGGTGCAGGGAAGTAAAGCAAACATTTACTTGAAAGCTTAAATAAAAAGACACTGTTTTTTGCGCAGATGTGACAGTGAGGCTTATTGCGGCGATTTTCCACCTTTGGCGACAACATATATGCCCTTTTATGTAAAAAAAGTCTTTAGTTGCGTATAAAACCGCGGCTAAAACTTTTCGGGCGTTGCTATTGATTTCTTTCTCCACAGACGTAAAATTCGTCGCTAAAAGTTGGCGAATGCTAAAACCATTTCCCCATGCAAAGCAGGTCATTTTGGGACACACGCTCCTACAATACAAAATCTCCTTTTATTCTCTATATTTATGTACACGTACTATTAAAATTCTCAGCAACATCATTCCTTGGAATGCATGAAAATGCCCCTATATGTTCGACAAACTATATTGGATGGGAACAAATGATCGGTTCATGTTTCTCACGCTGCCCCTTGTAAAGGCGATCCCTTTTTCTCTACCGACATGCTAGCAACATCTTGGGAGTTAGGATTGCTCAATCCTTCATTGAAGCGGTCTCTGAGAAATTCCACAGCCATAAATGTAAGAGCTGAAGCTGGAATATACCATGTAATCCTGGGGATGCTACCTCTGAACATCCCACGTGCACCTTCAACCATCCATATGCTACGAATTGCATCCAACCAGCCATTATACCTAAAGTTCACAAAAACATTAGATGGAGTAATAGAACCGTAGACGAATCCTAGACAGAAACGTGAGGTCCATATCAAATATACCAGGTCTAAACTGACAACAACTTTCCTCCCCATCTTGGGCGAGCATGTTGAAACCTCAGTTTGAAATAATAACAGTCAACACAAACTTTACCGAAGTGTATTTTCTGACTATTGCCCATCAATTGGTCCCCAAGATTTTAAATACTTATATGGCAATGAGTGAATTAATAAAACAGCTACATAGTTGTAAGAGTAAAACAGCTACACAGTTGTAAGAACCCCTCGATGATTATATGTAGGACAAAAGGTGTTTTGTGCATGTGCACCTATATGATCACTGTTCACATACAAAAAGCCTTGGTCAGGTAACATTAAGTACACTAACAACACATTATACTGCATGTGATACTTGCAACAAAAGTAAGTCTTTCACTGACAACAGAGAGTCGTTTGAAAATAATGAATAAAATAACCACAAAACAGAACTGATACCTCAAGGTTGATCCCTGTATTTGCAATCTTGTTTTGACCACATCCAAGGGAGTGGTAAGATATGCACTAAACCCTGAAAATTTCAATGCCAAGGACAAATTACGCCACAGGATATAATAACTTCAACCTGCACCAAGTTGTAGGACAAAGTATAAGCAAGGCACATACCACCAGCCAATCCTCCTAGTATGAGTCCTTCAACAGAACTATTAATACGGAAATTTGGATCGCGTATGTAATTTTGCTTCCCATACTCTGTCAAATCTTTCAAGCCTTCATAAAACACAACCTGCGATAGAACAGATGAACTCATAATTTTGAAACAAAACTATTCTTCTAGAAATAAGAACCAGAGCTAATTAAGAAAAGAGAAACAAAATAATGACAACTAAATAATTTAGAGGCCAAAGGGCTAACTGCCTATGATCAAAAGATAGTATGTCTGAATTTTCCGTTTTGGGACAAAATAAAACAATAAACTAGTACAGGGGAACGTGTGTTAAGAAGTCACGACCTTATTTGAGTAATTTTGTTTATTATGAGTTGCAACCCTATTTACAAAGCAACTGATTTTAATGAGAAAAGTTAAGGCTGAGACATACAAACTATCGCCGTCCAACGTACCATTAGACCAGCAAAAGGCACATCTCTTGCGAGTGTGGACCAGTACCTGCCAAATGAAAGAACAAATGAATCCACACTTTTTTTTTTGTCGAAAAATGCATCCACACTTAGGAAAGAACATTATGGTCATAATTCATGTGTGCATATGCTATGTATGCCTGACATGTGGCTTTCTGTCAGTATTGTGTGCGGGTGCATGGATGGATGGGGATGGGCAAGCAACAGCCTTTAGTAATTTACAGTGAACTATTGGACTCATGCTGAAACTGAATTGCATGTAGTAAAACCTCAAGCCAAACTATTCTTTTTTATTTCTATTTTCTTATGAGAAACGCATAATTATTAATGAAAAAAGTGGTACAAGGAGGATGAACGAGATGTCCATCTAAAATCCTGTTGACATCCTCAATCCCAAATACAAATTACAATCGAACCAAACTGACTATTTGGAAAACACAGACCAATTGACCTAAAGAGGCCAACAGTCTTCAAGACTCTTAATTTCCTGATCCCCTTCACAATGAAAATAGAGAGAAGAGGGAAGGAGGAATAGGGAACACAACATGAAAAAATCAAACCTTTAAAGATTAGAGAGTTTTATTTTGAGATATACCCTGCATATAATCCTTTCAGCCCCTGTTCCTTCAATATTGAGCAGCCAGCCTGGAACATCCCAGTATAATAACCATACATTTGGAGACTAGGCTTCATAGAGAGATTATCTTTCATCATGACAGAACTCCAAGAAGTCAGTGTGCCTTGAACCTGCATGCGTTGCTTCATCACTTCACATGGAACATATACAAAAGAACCAAGTGTATCTCCTGAAATACATAAAGAAAAGGAAAACATGACTTTTGAGTCCCCTGAGGCACATGATGGCTGAAGAGTCCACACTAATTCATGTTGGTAATACTAACACTGATAGCCTACATGGGCCTCCATACTTAACAGCATACAAAAATTATTGGCTGCTGGAAGCCAACTAAATATCTATGCATACAATGCACCAGGACAAACAACAATGTCCAGATATAGAAAAGAGCACTCAGAGATCAAGTTATAGTACATTCGAGAACTCACCAGAATAACTATATTCAGTGTATGGAGCACACAAGGGTTTTTCCTGGTGCATTTTTTAGGTAATAAACAACAGAAACACTGCATGGTTACAGTAAGTCGAAAGAGTTTATAAATTCAGGATAACAAGGTCAAGCATATATAAAATATGCTTAAGAGAAATTGGCCAACATAAACAAAATGAACCATCAAGAACTTCTTAGCGTGTCAGAAATCTGAATGGCATTGCTAATCCTTTGTCCAGTAACTCAAAAATCAACATTCAATGAAACTCAAGAGCGTCCTAGAAACAAGCTATCATCAAATTCCTCCATTAATAACTCCAAATGTCATAAAGCTACACATAATCTGAAGTTCTAAAGACATTAAAATTTAATTTGGGCATATTCACAATAACTGCATCTCAAGAGACTCAAAAGGCATCAGTATGAATGAGATTAAGTTTTGAGAGCTGCAGAACAACTTACCAACAGCTCCGGCAATGAAATGTGCCCAATGTCCCCCAAGGCTTGGATGTGATTCTTCAATCCACTTTTTGGTTGACTCTATAACACCAAAATATGTTGCTCCAGTTGCAAGAGAACCAGTGACACCAGGAGCTATACCCCTATAAAAGCCTACAGAATTTATTAGTTAAGAAGAACTAAATGCTCCGAGAATGCCCCAGCATTAAACCAAAAGAGAAATGAATCCTTGGTTCAGAGTCCAATATTTATGATTAAATGAATGGTTGCTTATAGTTTTACGATATATATATATATATATGCAAATATCACCAATCTTTTTACATGTGGAAAAAGGTAGTGTAAACAGGTTACATGCTACACAAACAGGACAAAGACGCAAACTAAAAAACTGCATCAGAAAGGAAAATGAATTACCCCTTAATCCATCAGCAATCCAGACTGCTCGTACCATCTGCAGTATGCTCTTTGGGTTCTGCGGGTATGAAATAAATTACTAATAATTATTGCATTTTCAAGCTAAGTTATAGAAAGACTTTAGCAAGAAGATAAAATGCCACATCCAATACTCGAAATCAATTTTCTTACATACATATTATATCAAATTCAAAGTCATTAATATGATAACATTTTGAGCATTTCCCATTCCATTAGCCATGGATTTTACATCTATAACATCTTTACTCTATGATTATACCTTACTTGCGGTAAGCATAGCTTGGCTCTGGATACGCGTCTTTACGGTGTCAACTGGATGCATCATTCCTTCCCCAAATGCTCCAGCGATAGCTCCCCACAGAAACTCCTTCATTACTACATTAACAGATTAATAAATCAATTACAACCTTCCCACAAGTCATACATGTTCTACAATTGTGCTATGGAAAACATTGCAAAAGGATACCCAGACATATTTTGTATACACATTGTCATATATTATACATCCCCTAAATATAAAAAACCTTTGATTTCTTTTCTTTCCCAACAATATTTGTTCATAAAGCAACAATTTTGTTTTCAGCTGCTTCAAATTCCAAACACGTATTGTTAAACCTATCATTAAAAATCGATGTATTGTTGCATTTAGAAGATTTTATGTTTTAATTTAACTGTATATATATATATATATTATGTCTGATGTCATGTTAGCCGGTTGATGACTTCCAACTATATGCTTTTCATTTTAATTCTCACTGTTTCTGTGCCATAAGATCCGTTCTAATCCAAAAAATCGAAGCGAGAAGATAGCGAAAAGGAAGGCTTACCAAAGAAGTGTTTCTGAGTTGTATCGCTCGAAGTGGAGCTCTGTATCGCCATTGAAATGTCACTCTCTATCTCACTGGTTAGGGTTTATGGGTTTTTTTCTTCTTTTTTCTTCTCCTTTTTGGGTTTTAGCTTAATACAGGGATAGTTGGAAGGTGAAGAAGAACAGGAATAAATAATGTCCTTTCTACCCTACCAGGTTGCAAAGAACAATGAGGGTACTATTGACCTTTCGGCTGTCAAGACAGCTATTCATACGGAGAGGTCTTCTCGATTCGAAGACCAGCTTGTTTGTTTTGATGGGCCGGGTCGGACTGACTGGGCCAGGGCCTGAGTTTTCTTTTGGGGTAGCGGCTACACTCAGGAATAAAATAAAAGCGACGTCGTTTACACCTCTTCCTTGCACATAGTAAAAATTTACCTGGCAGAAATAAGTATCGCAGTACGCATTAGCCGGTAGCAGCGAAGCGAGAGAAAACGCACCTGAGCTCGCAGCTCTTGTTATATAACCATTCGGATCCGAGCATCCAGTTCTAGGGTTTTCAATATCCGATCACCAATCACAAAACAATGGCGATGGCTGCTCTGAGACGAGAGGGGAGGCGTTTCGCCCCTTTGATCTCTCCCCATCCGATGGCTGCCATCCGATCCTCCATCGTCCCTGCCGAGTACGTTATCTATCCAAATCCGCTGTTTTTTTTTTCTTCTTTTTATTTTGCTTGCATTATGCATTCTTGTTGCCCTCTGTTTGGATTCCGAGAAAGTTGAAGAAATGGACAAAAAAAAATTTAATAGATTTTGGATGTGTATATTGTGATGGCTTTTGTTAAATATATGTATGAAGAAATGAAAGCTCAACCCAAGTTCGGAAGTGGTTCCTTTTGTTTGTAAACAGTGAGAACCATAAAGATTCCTTCACTTTCTCGGTGAAAGAACGGCTAATAATTGAATTGTTCTTAAACTTAAAGTACTGCAAATGTCCGATTTTATGGAGGACTCAAACTATTAATTAACATAAAACGGCTATTAAACTTGGGCGAGTGAATATTATTGATGTTGCTCGGTTTTGCTCTGTTTGGATAGTGCTTTCCAAAGCGTTTGGAAATGAAATCAAGGGCCACAAGGAACTCATGAAACTTGAATGAAATGACACAATACTTTAATGCACGTTAAACACTGAAAACCAAATATAGGGTCTACATTGCTCAATATGCTAAGCTTGAGATAGCCAAGTGAAGCCTTTAGAGGCCAATACTTTGTATTAGTTGGCTCTACGGAGAAGTGGGACATATTAAACCACAAATAAGCAGTCAGCAGTCTTAAAATACAGTGTTTGTCTCCTCCTTTGGATTGAAAATAGTAATACGCCACACAACCCATGTTCCTGTGAAGAGTATTGAGTATAAAATGGATTTTTTCCAGGTAGTATAAGTTTAGGTAGTTACACTTGAACTCTGCATTATTTATTTATCTATTTATTTTAAATATGGAAAATGCTGGATGGAGAACTTAAGCATTCATATATAAATCATTTCAACAGTCAATGGTAATTTTATAAAAGTCATTTTTTATTGCTTGCCATTGTTTTCCTTTTCAGCATTGAAACAACTAAATTATTTGGTTTGGTTGGCAGGGAGCAGGCCCCTTTGGGAGTCCGCTCAATTTCAACTCAAATCGGTAAGAACAATTGTCATGGATTACTTATTATTTTTTCCTCTTTTATGAAATACTCGCGGTTTTTTCTGCTTTTTGGTGAAACATCTGTAGCAAATGGTAATGCAGTTCTTTTGTAATACTTTGTGCATTCAGTTAGAAACCGGATGAAGAGTGTGAAGAATATCCAGAAAATTACAAAGGCAATGAAAATGGTTGCAGCCTCAAAGCTACGAGCAATTCAAGCTAAAGCGGAAAATTCCCGTGGCCTGTGGCAGCCTTTCACAGCACTTCTTGGTGACACTCCCAGTATGTATACTGGCATAATCTTTGCTGTTCAAGTTTATAGGAGTTATTTGGCTCATGTACTTTTTGAGTATTATTCTTCAAGTCAAATCTCACTTGTATTTGACTTGGTCATGGCATTTCAATTTTGTCCTCTATAACCTGTAAAAGTTTAAACTCCATTATTAATTCATTCTCATTGTACCTCCTCTCTGTTGATGTTCATTCTTTTAGCTGTAGCTGTTCCACATGTTCTTTATCTTTGACTAGCTTAATGGATAGATTGTTACTCTTGCCAAGTCCTAGCTCAACTGGAAACTGAAAATTACTCTTCTCTTTTTATTTATAATATGTGTGCTTTAAGAAGGTGTATTTCACTCTTTGTTTTCCCTCATTTTGATAAAGAGGTTAGTTTCTATTTATACATATCGATATTTTCTTAAGTTTCTCTCATTGTGTATTTTTATGTTTCCATGCCAGGCGTCCAAGTTAAGAAGGACGTTATTGTTACAATCTCTTCAGACAAAGGTTTATGTGGTGGGATTAACTCTACTTCAGTCAAGATAAGCAAGGCCTTAAACAAATTGAATTCTGGTATTTCTTGGAAGCTCAAAAGCTGGTTGTTAGTCTGATGTCTGCCACGTTTATTTTCTATGCACATTAATCTTTGTTTTCTTTGAAACTGTTGTAGGTCCTGACAAAGAGACAAAGTATGTCATTTTGGGGGAAAAAGCAAAGGCTCAATTGATACGTGACTCAAAGAAGGACATTGTGCTGGTCCTAACTGAGCTGCAGAAGAATCCTTTGAACTACACCCAGGTTAGTGTGTCGTGTTCATAGAAATTTTTTTTTTTCACATTGTGAGTGTGCACCTTCTCTGGTGTTTGCTATTCAAGGCTTTATTATTAAAAGTTTGTTAAAATCCTTTTTTTTGGTTGGGGGTTGGGGAGGGGATGGATGCTTAATCAAGTGCTTCACTCAGGAAAGATTATTTGAGACTTTTAGAGCCATTAAGATCCTCACTAAAGAACCCCAAACACACACACACACACACGCGCACCAAACCAATGTGGGAGATTAGCAACATAGTGGGTTTTATTTTATTTTATCTTATTTATATTATCCTTTCTTAATTACGTTTCTTCTCTGACATTTACAGTCGTAGGGGATCCAGCAATAATCTGTTATCATGTCAATCTTTGGTTTTTATTTTAAATGACTTTTATATGTTAGTTCAAATTAGTCTTAAATTGTGAGAGTTCAATGCTCTGTTTTTTATTTTGACCTCAATATTATAACTGGTAACCAAATTTTGATTTTATTTGCCGTTGACACTTTAAATTGCTGAGAGAATACATTTCTTTAACTTGGTCGATGTGCATTAAAGTATTAATTCTCTTTGATGGGTTCTTTTTTCAGGTTTATATTAACTAAGTTATTAATGTGGCAGTTATATATTATATCAGTGATCAAATGTACAAGTTCTTTCCATCATTTTCTGTGTACTTTTTGTCATTTCAGGTATCTGTCCTAGCTGACGACATTTTAAAAAATGTTGAGTTTGATGCTTTGAGAATCATCTTCAACAAGTTCCAATCAGTCGTCGCATTTCTGCCAACAGTGTCTACCGTATTATCTCCGGAGGTAATAAAAATGCTTCAGTTCAATAAATGAACACCTTATCCCTCCTATTCATGTTCTGATGTAATGGGTATTTGATATGATGTTTACGTAGATTGTGGAGAGAGAGGCTGAGTCTGGTGGAAAGCTTGGTGAGCTAGATTCCTATGAGATTGAAGGTGGTGAAACAAAGTCAGAGATACTCCAGAATCTGGCAGAGTTCCAGTTTTCTTGTGTAAGTCCTTCCTTTGAAGTTAGAGACCTCATATTTCGTATGTCATGCAGCAGTTGTTGTGTTCAACACGTTGCATAGTTATAGGGTGAACTGTTGATCAAAACACGGACCTAATGGGACACATAACGTCAAAGTGCTTTCATTTAGGCATGTCTTAGGTTTGACACTTTTGAACAAGTTCTTAGTCATCGAGTTACCAGATTTTTTTTATTTGCCAAACAGCAGTGCTGAAGAGAAACCTATTCAACTGTTTACAGTCACTAAGTATTATTGTGACCTACATCATGAAAGGACTTCAGTGTGATTTTGAAATTAAACGCTTGACATATTAAAAATTAAGCATCCATCTTACTATTTGCTTAATTTTCTGATTTTGGTTTTGCCTTAGGAGCTGATGCTCTCTGTGTGTTCCTCAGGGGCAATGCCTCTGTGTTTGTGGTTGTATTTGGGTGCGTATGTATTCCTCAGTGGCAATCCCTCCAAGTTTGTGTGTGTGTGTATTTGTTCGTGAGGAGCATGAGGAGCAATGGCAGTTTGACTGGCTAGTGCTCAGTATCAGTCTCTCTTTCCTTATTTTTGATCTCCTGGGTACTATTACTTTGGGTCCACGAAAACACTCCAGCAACTGAGAATTAACTCTTTATGGATAATTGTATCCTGTAAATGTCATGTTGTAATAGTTCTGTAGTTCTGTAAATTCTTCTAAAAATGCATTAAGCTTCTGGAGTAAGAATCTTTTTTTCGCAATCCTTTAGTGGCAGCAGTTCTCCCAGCACACCACAAGGGAGAGGTGCCCATTAAATTTGTGTAGGAACCTTTTCTTCTGCAATTCAAAATCTATTACTGAATGTATTTTGTTGCCCTCCATTCATACAAAAGAATTTCATATTTTGGTCAGGTCATGTTCAATGCTGTGTTGGAGAATGCTTGCAGTGAGCAAGGAGCAAGGATGTCTGCCATGGATAGTTCAAGCAGAAATGCTGGAGAGATGCTTGATCGCCTTACACTCACTTATAACAGGTCTCCTCTTCCCCCACCCCTATACACACACACACGCAAATATCCAATTAGGGTAACTTAGTGCACATTTCAGGAAAAGTGTCTTGTCTGGTCTTCTCTGTTTACTATAGAAATTGTCTATTATTTATTTGTTGGTTTATTTTAATATTCTTTTCCACTATGAATGACTGATCTTTGTTGTTTATGTGATTATTTTTTATAGAACTCGTCAAGCATCGATCACCACAGAATTGATTGAGATTATATCAGGAGCATCAGCACTGGAGGGCTAGTAGTTTATCTGATGGTGACGAAATAAAATTGTGTTTTTGAAGTTTAAGATATTACCTTTGTGAGGCATTTGTTATTTCTAATAATTACTCCAGGGTCAAATTCTGGAAACTAAGAAATTATATCAATGATGGTTCAAATTGATGGCTCTGGGATTCCTTTTTCTATATTAAGTTTAGCACTTGAGAAATTCGTCTGAAATGATTGAGGAGTGTATAAATTGTATCAGTTCATTTTGTACCTGATAAAGCTTTGGGATTATTGGGCATCAGCTTTCTCTTCTTCGATGCCATTGTTTGGAGCTCAAAGAGCATTGTTTTTGTATGAAAATAATGTCTTTCTGTAATCGCTGGGTCGAGTTGTCATGTTTGGTTCCATGAATTCATGTTCATGTTTGTACATGATGAAGAAACTGTCTTAGATTCTTTGTATATTGGTTGATATGAAAGAACAAGGTTATATCTAACCATGTCATCGAGGTGCCTAATTGTGAAAGTTACATTATCACGGAGCCATGTGTGTAATATTTATCAAATGTGTGTAATGTTTCCCAAATGAGATTTTTGTGCTATCCGTCGTACTCAACTTAGGGTTTACGATTAGGGTTTTGATCGAGACCTAGGATTAGTAGGTCTTTACCATTTGGTTTAACAAGTGCTGTGTTGTTGAACTAGGAGCTCTGGTTGCCCAAGAAAGGACTTGTTTTTGACAGCCAAAGTACCATTATATACGTTTCAACCTTGTGGGGCGGTTATATTCTTTTGACCTTCCAATCGGTGGATTTGGTACAGCAAAGATTGACATTTCAACAGAGTCTAATCCTTTGATATTTAAAAAATAATAATAATAAAACCGTCTAATCCTAATAATTCTCCTTGTGAAATACAAATCTTGTAGAGGTCTTGGTGGAAAATTTGGTACACATTTTCTCCAACTCTTTCGCTACGGCTGAAGGACCACAGTAGAAAACCCCTGTCCAGGAAACCCAAAATTTTCAACGTCTTTTTCCCTTTGATATGGCTGTTGCCCTACTTGCACGGCTACAAAGTTATAATGTACAAATCTTTTATGCTGAGAAATTATTTGCATCTTACCAATCCGTGCTTCTCTATGCCTATGTGCCAATTTTGAGAAGATGCTGATCCAGTTTGGCCGGGCAAAATGCGTACGTACCTGAAAATTCCATCAGATATATTATCTATATTTAACAACCAAATACTTTTCTCTTTTTTTTTTTTTTTTTTTTTTTTTTTCAGCTTTTGTTCATATGTATATCAGCAAAGACAGAAATGATTTCCCAGGTAAACCATTCCATTTGGTTGGAACACTCTTACCACCACAAGAGGGATAGAAAGAGAGGGTTGTATGATAGACGTTTAAGCCTGCAGATTGCTTTAACTAAGTATGCAGGCCAAAGCATTGTGATTAGGCATTGTAGTGCAGTACTTACCGGAGTCCGGGAAACAAAGTCTATACCATTTTTGGCATGATGCAATGCCTGTATAGCGCTTATTAGAACCGAGCGTGCATCGCCCTCTTGATACACACAAGTTAAGAAATTGTGCATCTCTACAACAGACTGAAGGATGATGATCACCAAAAGTAATGAGAATGCAGTGAAAAATGGTTTGCAGAAAAAAATTATGATTAAAGTTAACCTTTGGCTTGTACCTGCTTTTGGTTTGAGTTTGATATTTCCTTGATGATGTCTCTAAACCAGTCAAAGGAGCTCTGTTCTCTTGTAACCCAATAAAGATAGGCTTTTAGTGGAGCTTTTCTTAAGCTGCATTCTCTGCAACCAGTCTATTTTAAATCCCATCACCCATCAGAAGGATTTGTTAGTTGTCTCAAATGAAACACAAAGTAAAACAAATTAACCAAGCCAAGAAAATCTTACATGATCACAATGTGATTTTTCGGCACCATTGACAACATCTTTGAGGATGCTAATGAAAGGTGTAAAACCTATGCCTAGACCAATTAGAACAACAATGTCATACTTGACATGGTCTTGAGAGGCGGCACCATAGGGCCCATCAATGTGTACTTTGGGATAGCCCTTAACTCCAGATAATGTTGCCTGTAAAAGTTCAAAAGGAAAAATCCCTGTAATGCATAAGCTTTTTCCAAATTTTGATAAACTCTTTCTATTCAATTTTCCCAATTTTTACCTCTTGGAAGAGACTGTATATTTGATAACTCCAGTCTCCAGCAGTTCTAATATGCACACTTAGGTAGTCGTCTTCTGGTCCAGAAGTCAAGGAAAACGGGTGCCTGAGTCAACGAACAAAGAAGCGAAAGAAACAGAATTCAAAATCCATAGGCATTGAAGTAAATTTTAGTTAATTACATGCAGGACTCTAGAACAGATAAATGCTATAGTTTAAATGTACCATTCAAATGGTGAAATTTGAGGGCATTGAATGAATATGTACATGCCACTCAGGTACTTAAACCCTTCTGGTTTATTCAATTGGAGGGACAAAACTTTTCCTGGATAAATACTTGCCTGCACAATTGTAACACAGAAAGAAGTAAACAAAGGGTTGAATTTAATTCCCAACCAACTGCCATTGCAACAATTGCAGATTGATGAATTTTCAAAGTACTTCCTTCAGATTAACAAGGTTAAGTGTAGTATTGGCCTTTACCTTCAAAATTTCCACCTCATAAAATCCTGATCGTATGGCTCGAAATACTCGTTCTCCTGTATATAATAGAACTGGAATGGCAATATACATCCATGTCTGCTTAAGAAAATTCTTAACATTAAAACTCTATATAAAGGTAAAATTCTAAATACATGAGGACAAAATGAAGTTCAGTTTAAAGGCTTACTGTTTTTTCAGTTACATTGTCTGTAAGGAAGAGGAACATAGAGTGAAGAATGAGCAATGCATATACAGCAATGAACAAGTGGTGTGAGTACCAAAAGGTATTATAGCCTGTGACATTCCGAACAGACCTTGGCAGAGAAGGCGGTTGGCGGCGTGGCCATTTTGTTGCAAGTGAAAATGCTATCATCATTAGTACTACCATAACAATCCCTGTTGCCACCTCCTTTGTAGCCAATATTTCAAAGTATGATGGCTGATGATACCCGAATCTGGCAGCTATTGTTTGCCAGAAGATTAAACGATCCGAATCACTAATTCTTGGAAAGTCACAAGCAAGGTGAGCACCACCATGCAGGATAACTCCTACTACTATCCCTCCTGCAATCATCTGCACAAAATTCAACACAAAATGTAGACATACTTGTTAGTAAAATAGAGTGCTATATAGGACAAAATTTTCAAGTTTTTGAGGTTGGTTTTCCATTGGCTCCAAAACTAAAAGCTTGAAATATTTGTTTTAAGGTGGTCGTTCTGAGTGTGGAGCAAGTGTTCTACCACAAGAGCTAGGCTAGCTATCAGTCAAACTACCTTGTGGAAGTTAATGTTGTCATTAAATGGAATAATTGAGTTGATCGAACGGTTCTTGCGAAGCCATGTAATTGTATTACGACAAACAGGGAGGAGAATTAGAGCCATGTTGAATTTCAGGGTTTCAGCAGCACCTTTAGCAGTGGACAGGCAGTACCCCATTACTTGAAAAGCTGCTCTATGGCGATATTGTATAAATTTCCAAGTGAATAGTGCAGTACATATGATCAACCACAACAAAACTATCCATGCACGTCGCCAATATGATCGAAATAAAACTTCGTTCTTAGACCTTGGCTCTTCACATAGGTCAAAACTGTAATATGGACGTCTGATTGACAAGTGATTTGTTGAAAAGGAGCCCTTTGATAAGCTCATTTTGATGAGAGTCTCAAATTGATTGAGCTGCAAGTTAATGGCAAACATTAGAAAGTCAATAAAATGTTCTTGCACATGAATTAACATGTTACAATCTCCAGAATTAGATGCTATTTATTTCTCAAAGAGGGTCATATCTTTATTTTTGTTTTTGAGAGAATGAATTTCCATGTTTGAATGGTACCTCAATATATCCCTGGTTTTCAATGTCAAGATGTTCCATGACTAAAGCAGCATAGTCTTCTGCTTCCTCATGGGTCAATGATAACTTATTTGTAGAAGCACTTAGTATAATGGTCTGCAAAAGTGCCCAAATTCCAAGCGAACCAGTAACCATGAGCACAAAATTAATGCTATCTATGTAATAATGCAAGTTTTTTAGACCTCAAATGGTGAAGTTAATTACAGTCATTCAGGTAGAAGAGTGCTTTTCATGAGAGTGTGACGCAGTTACCTGCTTAAGATCTTTCTTAGTTATTCTTCCGTCCATGTTTCTGTCGCACCTGAAAAGAATTACAACCTTAGAGAAAAATTCAATTCCAAAAGAAGGTAATTTTCTTGATGTAAACAATTGTAACAAGGCTTAAGCTAAGCATCTTATTGAATTATAATGAGGATTATTACAAGTCAAAGTAAATCTGTATCCTCGAATCGAAGCAAGGGTCAGTCATACGACACCAGTAACTATGCAGTTCGTCCTTCGACATATCAACATTCCGATCCCTTGTTCCCCTTAGAGCCCTTAATAGCTCATTAGCAAACTCTGGCGTCTGTTGCATGCCTGCCAAATATGAACCAAAGTATATTATCAAAGAAGGAGCTAATATATTTTTAAAGATGTAGATGTATGTAAAAGCCAAAGGTAATTATATGACAGAAGAACAAAACTTTCAAGCTAGTGCTACCATGGTAAATAACAACCACAGTAATTAATCTAAAAAGAAGAACAAAAACGGTAGAGGCCAACAAAGCCGCCCACCAAAAAAATAAAACTAATGCACACAGGGCAAGCCAAAGACACAAAGAAGTCACAGAAAAAAACAAATACATTCTGCAAAAACAATCACATTCTGCAGAAAAAAAGAAAACATGTTCTGCAGAGAATAAACAGAACCAAGCCAAAAGTTAAAATGAATAAAATATTGATGGGAATCGTTAATTCTATTTGCTAGACTTTAAAATATGTAATATGATAAACTTAATTAAGTGTAGGCTTGCTCACCTATACACAGACCAAAATCAGACCATTTTATAACCGGTTCAACTCCGTTTCCGGTTAATGCAAGCCGGTCAAACCGCTCCTCTACACCCTTCCACTCCATCCCACCGTTGCCCATGGTACCAACAAATCTCAGCCATTGAGTTTTAGTGGCTGAACCCGCTGTGGATGCCACCCCACCATTCTCTGCCATATAATACTGCCGGTTCAGTGCAGCTTGAAGTGGTTCTGTTTTATCACCATGAGGTTCAGTCCAAACCGGAGAGAAAGACAGAGGAACAACGCTAGCACTGCAAGAAGACGAAGAAGATGAAGATGGTGAGAGAGCTGAAACAGAGGGTTGGTGAGGGGTTTGGAGCTGTGCATGTGCCTCCATTTTTGGTGATCAAAGTTTTTGTAAGGGAAGAAAGAAATGTGGTTGGTTGTGATGTGGGAGTTTATTTAAAACAAGATTGATGGGTTTTCTAGAATGCAGAGTGCTTATAACTTGTTGAAAAGATTGCATGTTTTAAGGATGAAGAAGAAAAGAGTGGCAGCATTTAATTTGTTTTGTTGGAGAGGTACAAACTATAGCTAGCTTATGGGCTTTCTTGTTCACTTGGTTTCTTGGATTTGGGTGGTTAAGAAAATTAAGTAAGAGAGGTTTTGTTAGTGGCTGAAAAATTAGGAGCAGAAAGGAAATGAGAGCAGGTAAACTAATGAAAAGGTTGTGATGAGAGAGAGAGAGAGAGAAGAGAGTTAAATTTCCCACCAGCCTAAACCAAATACATCTCAGAATGAAATGATTCTCACCATGCAAGAAAGGGATTTGGAGAATAATTGGTTATAAAAGTCACATTGAGCTAGCAGCTCCCAATTGCTCCATTAATTTTAACATTGTGCATTGCATGCCTAGCTATGAGTTATATATATTCTGTGGACAAAAGACAAAGGGTGTGCAGGTCATAAGACTTACAGTTATTTAATTGTGCACCCAACAACACCATGACCTTGAAGTCAGAATTAGGCAAATGATTGGCCACAGTTATTCATCAACTCAACTTTACGCAGTTGGTCAAACCATGTATGTGTTTCTATATATATATTTTCGGTGACATATTTAAATAACATATTATATTTAACAAAATATAGTGAAAATTTGTCACTGGCCTTGCGAGATCCCCAAATATTTCCACTATGTATTTTCATCCAGTAATGTAAACAAAGTGTATAATTCGAGTTTCTCCTTCAAGTGGGTTCAAAAATTCTAAGAAATTGTCGTTTGTGAATATATATAAGTTTTTTCACCCTCTTTTTCTGTGTTTCAAAAGAGTGGAAAGATATGGAAAAAAAAAAATCATTTTTCCTCTAAGAAATTATTGCAGTTGTAGGTTATGCTGGTTGGTCAGGACAATGAGCGGCGAGCCTGCCTCCTTGCACTCAAGTTTGAATCTCATTCCCTTATAAATTAGATTAACTTAAATTATCGGCTGTATTAAATAAATAAAAAAACTATATATTATCTTTGCATATTAGGTGAAAATGTTCAAGAAGATGGAATCACAAGAAAAAGTTGGACTGGGTCGACCCATCAACAAATTGGGTAAAGAGTGCTGGGCGAAGCAAAAGTAAGGCCCAAGCTCTCTACCTCTCCTCTCTCTAGTTGGGCTGACCCATCTGATGGACCCGAATTGGGTCCTTACCCACCAGACTGGACAAATAGAATACCTTTCATTAACGTTAATTTCGCAATTATGGAAAGTTTGTAGGTAGATCTGCACTTGGATTACTTTACCAACCATCCTATCAAAAAAAAAAAAAAAAATTTACACACGCGCGCGCGCGCACACACATACACACAGAGATTCCCTTACCAAGCATTGAGGTGGGGCGAGGGAGTTACAGGAAAATCAAAAGCAAAGGAAGCCGCAGCTAGATCTGAGAAAGAAAGCAAAACCAGTTATATACAGCGGTAATTTTCATTTCAGTTTTCCTTTGATTTCTTATCGTGTGTCCTTCTCTATTTTGATTCTTTTGTCCCCTTTCAAGTTTTCGTTTATGTATAATTTTGAGACTGCTTATGATGTTTAGCCCTCTGCTTGCTTCCCTAGAAAATGCAACGAATGAATATGATTTTATACTCTTAAGTGTGTCTTTCGTTGCATAACTTATGTGAACTTACTAGATTTTTGTGAACAAGTTTTCGTTTGTTAAGTTGTTTTTATACACGTTTATTCATGTATGTATTATGTACGTCGACCTGCATTTACTTTGCACAAAATATGTTAAATTTGACATTTTAGTTACCTGTTCTCTCAATATCGTTTGTTCAAACAGTTGGGTTGTTGTCTTTCTGTTAATTGAACAGAAATGTTGAATGTAATGTCAATATTTTTTCAATTTCTTTAAGGTGTTGGAGCCTTTGTGATTGATATGAAGGATATTTCTTTATGATGATTATTTTTTCTTTGTTGGACATAGATTTTCATGGAAGGATTGGTGGGTGTTTCACGAGTCACCCCAGTTCGTACTCATTTGAGGCAAAAGCACCTTCCTTTTGTTCCTACGTCTTCACTGAAATTTACGAAAAGTTTGTATAGAAATAGAACTAGAGTTGGAATGAACCAACATCCCAAATCACCCAACCCAATTGCTGCTTCAATTCAACCATTAGAAGCCTCCGCATTGAGCCGCTTTGACAACACGCAACCATCCAAAGGTAATGTGATTGATTGAACCTGGGAACTTGTATTTGCGTCTTTGGTAAAATTGGTTTGAGGAAACTTTTGATTCATTGGAGCTGAAAACTTAGCTTTGCAACATAAATATATAATTTGTGGTAGAAAGTGTGGCACTATTTGTTGCGTCACTGAAATTTTGTATGGAATTTATGTTCAAAGACTGAAGAGCAGTTGCCTTACCTAGGCATAAGAGTATGAGCTTATGGATTCAGCTTTGAAATTAAAAATAAAAAGCTCAATAAAATATAGTTTGAGACTTTCAGAACCATATGACCTTGTGTGATGGATGTTTATTTTAATGCATAGAGGTTCTTGATTTATGGAGAAATGCTGATGCGGTGTGCTTCGATGTGGATAGCACTGTTTGCCTGGATGAGGGCATCGATGAACTTGCAGAATATTGTGGAGCTGGAAAGGCTGTTGCAGAATGGACAGCTAGGTTAAATTTATTATTGGAATTGCTTTCATCTGTTTCGTAATGTGGAATTTTCAACTCTCACTGTAGTTCTCATCCTTGCCAGGGCAATGAGTGGTTCAGTACCTTTTGAGGAGGCTTTGGCTGCTAGACTATCTTTGTTTAATCCTTCCCTATCTCAAGTCCAAGATTTTCTCGAAGAGAGGCCCGCAAGGTAGGAGGGCTCCTTTAGATTATCTTGAGTGTATGCTGGCTTCCTTTTAATTGTCTATGGTTTATTTTGCTTAATTTGGAGCTTGACTTTGGTCTTGATAAAATCATTGTGTTTTTCTTATAGAATTTGAAGACACAAGTTATGACTACTTAAGATGAAAATATTGCCATTATTAGCAAAAGATGTGTACGAGACATTTACTTGACAGCATATAAAATAATGACTTCCCAATGGTTATTTATACTTACCTTAAGAAATATTGTTGAAAGGGTAGAAATGAAATGATTTAGGTCTGCTTATTATTTGCACTTCTGGCAATTTGATGACCAAAAAATTTCTGATCTGGTTGTGGTGTACAATTCTGTGTAGGCTTTCACCTGGCATAGATGAGTTAGTCAAGAAGCTGAAGGCTAATGACACTGATGTTTACTTGGTCTCTGGAGGCTTCCGTCAAATGATCAAAGTATGCTGCTGAATAATTCAATGAGTGCCTTTGTTCTGTTGCTACTTTTTTTTTTTTTCTCTTATGTATCATTTGTCAGTTGAAGATGCAGAATACATTGAAAATTAATATCCTCCTTTAATATTGTAAATTGTTAACTGAGTAACTTGTTCTGAAGCCTGTGGCATCGATTCTTGGGATACCGCCTGAAAACGTGTTTGCAAATCAACTGCTATTTGGAACATCTGGAGAGTTTCTGGGTTTTGACAAAAATGAGCCCACTTCAAGGAGTGGTGGAAAAGCCACTGCAGTGCAACAAATAAGGAAGGTTGGTCTATGGCCGTGTGTTCAATGTTTTAGTTTCCAAGTATGTTGCTTGAAAAGCTGATTAAACTGGTTTTCCAGGCTCATACTTACAAGGAATTAATCATGATTGGGGATGGTGCGACTGATCTTGAGGTAATCAATCACTGAAACTTCCAAACTGCTATCCTGCAACAAGATTTGTTTGTGTTTTCTGTGTCTCACATACTCACATATAGCCATGAATATAAAACTAAATGATAACCATGCTCGAGAAGCCTTGAAACATTAAGACTTCTTTGTCAAGTGTCTCTGTGCGTTTCTCTCATATATAAGCATTATCAATGAAATAATATTTTGTTTAAGCTGACTCGTGAAATTCTCCATCCAATATCATTTGTCTCTATATCCAGGCACGCCAACCAGGAGGTGCTGACTTGTTCATTTGCTATGCTGGTGTTCAATTTCGAGAGGCTGTAGCGGCGAAGGCCAATTGGCTTGTTTTTAATTTTGAAGACTTGATAAGCTCCTTGGACTAATAGCCTGTACCCTTTTGTGCCCTATTCATTCTTTATCGTGTACTATTGTTCCTCCATTGCGCTGCCAGCACTGCTGCATTAGTATAGTTATACCCTTCCGATTTGTACAAGGTAACATTTTCCTATGTATAAAAATCACAGGAAGATGAATAAGGAGTGTGCATTGGGTGTTTCGTTGTAGGATACTGTCTGTGTACTTGAATGGGAAAATATATTGTGTGGGATACTAGTTACAAAGTTTATATAAATGATTGGACCATTTACCCTTAAGTCCTGTACAAAAAATACATCTGTGAATCTGTGATATCAGGGAGAAGAAAACTCAAGTCTTACATTGAAGGAAAGTGTTGATGTTGAGGTTGACCCGTGTGCAAGCATGCCTAAACATCAACACTTTCCTTGCAAAGAAGAAACAAGAGTTTCCTTTTACCTAATTTCTTATTCACTCATTCATTGGCATTGGGTTGTGTTTGTGGTAGTTAAAATGTCTATCAATCAAAAGAGCTGGTGGTTGGCCAACTCATTGAATTGGTGATCTAGTCCCCCACCTCATCCATTTAAGCACCAGAAACTTGCGAAAAAAGAAAAGCAAATGAACGGACAACTCCAATATCAATCGCAACTCCAACATCAATAGAATTTTTTTTTTTTTTTTCGGTGAACAAAAGTTTAAGGAGAGGGAGCCTATCCCATCCCAGGGTTAGAGTATACTGAGACTTCTTTGAGGTACAAAGGAGGTCTTAGCCATTTTTTTGGGTTTTACATATTACTCATCAAAAAATATTATCGCTGTGGAACTTGAACCTAGGCATGAATAGCAAAGAGAACGCTCATTCCCAACTCAACCAACCCTCATTAGCATATCATGTTAGATTTTGGTTTTGCCTAATATGTGCACTGCAAAGTATGAAATCAATGGGGCTTACAATTAAACAGGGGACATTGACAAATATCAATATAATAATTCAAAGCGCACGATTGGTTGCTCTGTGAAGCACTTGTAACTGTGGTGTTAATGATGATAAGGGGTCCATCCATGTGGATTGCTTGGTCTGAATTTGAGTCTGAGGCCAAGCTAATCAAAGTTAAACAAGTCCACCTTTTGTGTCCTTTCCTTTCCTTTTCACATAATATATGTCCATTTCCTCTTGTTTGGGCTACACTTTACATAACATTGTGACCCCTCCCCCTACCCATTTATTTTCTTCAATTTATACTTTAAAACGGTGATTGAGTTGAAAAGGTCCCTACAAAAGAGACAATCTTTTTCAACTGCCATGTTAGCGTTAAAAAGCTTTTCCAACTTTCATCTTGACTTATGGATGAACAAGGTGGTTGGTATTTTATTTCATTTTCTTGTATGTTTTTTTTTTTCTTTCTTTTTTTGTTGGTTTTGTAAAGGGCGATTATATCTAAGGCACGTCATAGAAAAGCCCACCAAGTTCTTTCAAAGAATGCCTACTCTGAAAAGCTTATGTACGAGTGAAGTGATTAGGATCTACCCAAATGTCCAACCGGGAAAAAAAAAAAAAAAAAACTATTTAGAGCTTATAAAAAATTATTTTTCTTTTAAAATATAGAATTTAAATTAAAATGATTTTTTTTTTGGTCATAATTTTTAAACAAAATCAAGAAGACGATAGTAATACCAATCCTAGATATGTATTTATAAAAAAACCCAAACACTATTTAAACATAGAAACACACCTAAAATTAACCCCAAAGTCAACTTTTTGGGTGTGTTTATAAATGGGTTTTGAGTGTGTGTAATGATGAATTTTGGGTGTGTTTATATGTTTAAATAGTGCTTGGGTTTTTTTATAATTTCAACCCCCATTTTGGGTGTTTTAGTGAAACTCCCTAATATTTATCGGGTAGAATTTTATTATTTTATGCGTCCTTAGAAAATAAAAAGAAAAAGACAAAAATGAATTAATTCTGTTTTAAAAAAGGAAAGGAAAAGACCTCGTTTATCAAATGTAAGAATTTGTGGTGTATCCCTCTGTAGATAACAGAGCAACGGGTGTTATTCCTCCGAGGAATCCAGTTCTTCAAGATTCACCAAAAATCGTCTTCGAAAGTTTGGTTTCTCTTAGATTTGCTTCCCAAACTCACAGGTTCTTTTAAATTAAGCTTTTTTTTCTTTTCTTGCTTCTCCATCGCCGAGAAGAGGAAGAGCTCTGAGCTATTTTCACCTTCTTGCCAATGCGGTAGTCATTCAAATGGGTTTTCTGAGCCAAGAGGCTGCTTTCAAATTCGTAATAGCTTAGATTTTTGATATCCAGGCAGGCATCCCTGGGCTTTTGTTGCGGTTGTGGCTTCTTGGAGGAGTTTTCCGAGGAAATGGAAATTGTTCTTTGATAGTGTATGTAGGTTGCTATCAATAAGTGGGTAGATTTTAGATTTCCTTGGAACATATGGTTCTTGTCTCTGATATGCTGTTGTTTCTGTAGCTCTTGGTTGATTATCTTTTGTGAGTTTGAGAAATTTGTCTCTGCAATTGTTTATTGCTGCAGAAGTTGAGGCTTATTCAGTATTTTGGGCTTGCATATTGATGCCTTTAACTGTTTTGTTCTGCTCCAGAAGTAGTAATTTACCATCGTCCAGATTTGGATTCTGAGAATTGATAGAGGAAATTCTGTCTTGTTGAGTTGGGCAGCTGTTTTACTTTCTACAAAGCTGGCTTTTAGTCATGTATTTTCATAATCAATTGCGCCAAACTGTGAAGATTTTTTATTCTTAGATTCAAACTTCTTTCCCCCTCACATTTGGCTTCATGGAATTTTTTGGTTTTGGGTTGTTGATATCGAGAACTGAAAGAAAGATAAAATTTTGCTTTGTGGAATCCTTTTAGTGTGTGTTTTTCAGTGGAAGGGACAGCAGATATGGACTTGTGGGTGGTTGCAGCAGCTGCTGGCGCTGGATATTTGACTAAGTATTGGCAGAATATTTCTAGGAATGGGGATAAGGATAGCTTGTTACAGTTTTCTTCTGGGGATGCAAATCTTGACAAATCTGAGTCCCCAAGCCGTCCCTTCCAGAGACTCGCACAGAGAAAGAAAGTGGGTGATGCCGTTTCTACAGATAGAAAAATGGTTTCAGATAATAACCTGTTAGAAAGTGCTTGTGGGACAGAAGTGGCTTCTACTAGTGGGTATGATGGTGAAAAACTGGGAGGCTTTGTAAATTACAAGGACTGCAATGTACTTTCTCTATCAAATATGTTACCAGTATACTCAGGAAATGACAATAAGGATGGGGATGGAACTTGGCTAAGTAATGATATTGATGACAGTACTAGTGTCATGTTGCCTAAATCTCCAAATGGAGAAAGGGGTTCTTCTCATGTTCCTCTGAGGAACAGAAGCTCTATTAGAGCTAAACATTCATACAGGCATATTGTTAAGCCGGTCAGTTCCTTAGAAAGTTGCCTTATGGCTCAATTATATAAAGAGCGTGCTGAAATGGAAGAGTATGCGCTTACCCTTCCATCATCATCCACTCCAAGTATTAGGCCATTGTTTGTGACTGATGGAAGCCGAATAATCAGCAGAGGTAGTGGTGATCATTTCAGTGCTCATATTGGAATTGAGGAAAATAAGCTGCATAAGGAAGCCTATTTAGAAACAAATGAAAATGTCTGCGGGTTTCCTCCACCACCGAAACTGGGTTATTTGGATCTCTCTAAGAAGATGAAAACTAAGACAGGAAAGGGACGGAATGGAAGATTGGGCAGTTCCAGTAAAATGGTCAATGGGAAACACTTCCATTCTGAAGGTGGTAGTCTTTTCATATTCTAGTGGTATCTTTATTATTTGTGTAATTCTCAGTAATATTCAGATGGTTATAGACTAAAATTCCACTTCATAAGAGTAACCTATGTCTTTGTTTTAGAGGCTGTTCAAGTCTGTCTCTTTGCTTGAAAGTTTTTGTGTTCTGTCCTTGTCATGGAATTTTCTTTCTGTTAAGAAATATATTAAATTTTCAAAGCAAGGGAAAATCAATTATGTCTACTGTTATACAGGAGAAAGGATATTATCCAGCGTTATTAGGTTGCTAAGCAAGGGAAAGTCATTTGTTTATATGATTATGCTCTATTAAGTCACTAAGTTCAAGAGACTAATAAAAGGTCCTAAGTGCATATCTGACTAGAACCAATTGTGAAGCTACTATTTGTGTTGACCATCCAGTAATTAAATTGCTACTCGTGAGTGTGTGGTATTTTTCTAATTTGTCACAGTTTATGTCCTAATACTTTTGCCTTCATCAGGTTCACCAGAAGGACCAGTTCTACTCTGTCTTGGGATTTCTATTGGCATAATATCTTCTTTTATAACAAATAAACGAGAAGTTGACAAGTTGAAAGATCTATTGAAGCAGACTGAGAACTTGGTTCAGGATCTGGAGGAAGAACTTGAGATGAAAGATTCAGTAACAGTGAAGGAGCTAGCTAAGGAGAATTATGAATCACATGATACTTGTGACCATTCATTTTTTGACAGGGCACCAAATTCATTTTCTCCTGAACAGAGTATGGACAAATATGATGGTAGAGATTCATATGACCGGAAAGCAGAAGAGTTTTCAGAGTCAATGAGTAAAATAGAGGCAGAGCTTGAAGCTGAACTTGAGAGGTTGGGGCTAAACGTGAATACTTCTACTACAGAGAGAAGATTGATTGATCTTACCGAGGTCAGTGTATGCATAATTTGTATTCTTATGTTTAAGCAGCACATCTTTATATTATAGTTTTACATTGAATCTATATGTTCATTGGGTTCAAGTACTTCACTGTATTAAATATACATTTGGCCTTTTCCTATTACTCAAATGGTTTTCTGTACTGAGCTTCATGGGTGGAATCATCCAAATAATTACTTCAAACTAAGTGAAAAGAAAAAACAGCAATTTTATTAATTCTGCTTACAAGGCTTCAAACATATTCATTCTGTTTTACTTATGCTAGTATTTTCATACCATGGACCTTGCTAGTCTATAAAACTTACCAAATGCTAAGAATTAAGATATTTGATTGTAACGTTTGATTGTTGGGGTGTTTAGGTATTTATATTAAACATTAATGAGGCTTTCTCTTTCTTTTTCTTTGTCAGTTCTAGTATCATGTCTTTCTAGGAAATGAATTTTAATCTCATAGGACCCGCCCATTACTTATTTTCTTTAATTCAAATGAACTTTTTTGGCTAATGTGATGATCTCATCAAATTCTTGTTAAGTGCTAACAGAGATGAAAATTTGTGCAGCTTGACCCAGACTTAATCGCAGATTTTGCTCAAGGCGAGTTGAGAGCTGACATCGTTGGTGGTTTAGCTGTTGCCCAACCCAAGTCAAATGAAGAGGCAAGCCGCGCCTCTACGGCTCATCACTGTGCAAACTATGCAGTTTCTCCTAGAGAGCTTAGCTTGCGTCTGCATGAAGTTATCCAGTCAAGCCTAGAAGAACGTGTCCAGGAGCTTGAGGCAGCTCTAGAGAACAGCCGAAGGAAGGTCAAGATCATGGAATTGAACCACGAGGATTGTGGAAGTGGGTTCTCAGAAAGTTGTATACATTCCACAATCCAAGAAAGTACAAATTCTGAAGAAAAATGCAAAACTGTGGCGGAGCCTCTGGTCATGAATTTATCAGGAGAAGCTTTAGATGCATACAATGAGGCTTACGAAGAGTTGATGAAGATCAGTGAGTCAGAAGAGGAGGATTCGCCTTGTCAAGTTTTTGAAACATTCAGGGCTCAAAACCCCTGTCAAACTCAAAGTGATGAGGTAAATGGTTCCATAGGACATTTTGCTTCCAGTAAAGAGGAAACCTTAGCAGAGGATATCTTTTCCTTCGAGAGCAAAGTAAGAATGTTGGATGAGGAGCACATTTCCAGGGTTCAGAGTTCAAATAACACATCTGTAACTGGGGAAGAGCATAGTGATTCTGATGCAGAGATGGAGAAACAATTGATAATGCAGATTGTGGAGAAGACCAAGAAAGGTTCTCCTGTAGTCCTGAATGCGCAAAGGTGGTTGTTCCAATCAATGGATGAGACTGAGCGTTAAAATGAAACAGAAATCAAATTTTGCAGTGTATAGATCCATACAAAGTATAGAAGAGGTTAGGTATTCATTCTATAGCTAAGCTAATCTGTCATTTGTTCTAACGATGTTTACTGATTCTTTTTTCAAGGCTTTGTTTATCCGGTCATCAGAAACTTGTTCAAATATTTTCAATTTTATATGCTCTTCCATTTCTGTCTCACTTTCCTTATTTCTCCGTCCAAGGAATCATAAGATTTACAGCCCTGTGTTTGCAACTTTCAGTTCTAGAGGAAAACTTTTGTGGTATCCATTTTGATTTAATGAATGGACATGCACAAATGGGAAATTGAAATAAATCAAAGATTCTGCCCCCCTCTCGCTGTACAATTGTCGACTTCGCTCTTTTTTGCTGAACATTGGACATATTTTGCTTTTTTTCTTCAACATTGGACAATTTCGTAACAGATTTGACAAGAGGTCCTTTTGTTCATCATTCATTTCAAGAATCTGAATATGAAACCGATGCTTTCACACTATTTATCATGCATTTCAACAATTTCCTCCTATTATTGCACTTCAATTTAAGTTTCTATGTCATTTTAAAAGAAAAATACGGGAGACCATGAATCACAATTATTTCCACAATCCAGGTCCTTAGTTGACAAAGCAAGCTAAAAGGTGCATGAAATTCACAGAAAAATCCGACAAACGAAATTAATAGTTCAGGAAGACAGGGAGGGGGAATATTCAGCTGTAACAAAAAGACAATCTACTAGTAGCTCTGCGGAGAAGCAAACTAAATTGCTCCTCATCTAAATATAATCAAGCCCTCTTGCAAAAGTTGCCGCCGTCAATGTCATCCCCATCATTTCCTTCCAATGGATCATCCAAGCTGAAACCACCTTTGTTCTCTCCCAATTGAGCTCCACCACTGCCAAAGCTGTTGTCAGCACCGCCAACAAAGTCATCAGCACCACCAACACCGCCAGCAACACCAAAATTGCTGCTATTGCCAAAAGCACCTCCAGTGCTAGCAGTTTCAAAAGTGTTTCCACTTGGATAATTACCACCACTGCTGTAGCCACCTCCACTTCCACCATATCCTCCACCAGTGTTCCCACCACCATAACCACCACCGCCATAACTACCGCCGCCACCATAACCACCACCACCGCCACCGTAACCACCACCACCGCCATAACCTCCACCACCTCCGCTGTAGCCGCCATCACCGAAGTTAGGGCGAGGCCTATCAGTAGCATAATTCACCCTTACTCGGCGGCCATGAAGCTCCTAGAGGATTTCCAGACAAATGTTTTAACATAAGACGAATGTTTTAACAATTATAAAGGTGTATGAGGAAACAACTAAAAATAGAAGGAAGCAAAGTTTTTCACAAAAATAACTACCTGCCCATCCAAGGCCTGGATGGCACTGGATGCCTCCTCGCTACTGGTGAAAGTGATGAACCCAAATCCTCTAGATCTACCAGTTTCACGGTCACTGATGATTCTTGCTACAAGAAGTCAATGAGCACCAAATTATTGCAGAAGTTCAAACTCCATTAAAACAAATAGCTACTGCAAAGTGTATGGATAATTTTGAATGCATTATTTTCAACATTATGCATTTACAATACCAGGTACAGTCCCAGATGTCTAATTTTGTCTAGAATTCACAAAACAACACTATTAAGACCATGGCATACCATCAATAACTTCACCATATTTTGCAAAAGCTTCCCTCAGACTCTGCTCATCTGTCTGGTACGGGGGAGGAGGGGAATCATATTTGAGACTCTTGAGGAATTCTGACAACACCTCCAATAAAGAGTTTTGAACTCGCCATGCTTGACATGCATCTTACTGCTTGATGGATGGACAGTTTGAAAGGAGATAATTCAGATCTGATCTGCTTGTTTGCAGTCTGTCTGAGTATATTCCCAATTTTACTTAAGAAAGCCATTGCAATAACCTAAAACAAAGCACAAGCAAACAAGTTCAATGACAGATATTTATAATAATAAGAGTGGATACAGCAATCAATTCTGTTGGTTGAAGACTACACATGTTATAGTCATGTCAACAGAAATGTCGAATTAAGTCTGTGTATAAGAACCCTTAATCTAAAATTGTGTTAAAAAGTACACACAGGATGCGAATACTTTACTAATAAATAACAAGAGAGCCATTTATAAGCTACCCAAAACAATGATTATAAAAATCATTCGCATGCTCTTTCATCTACTACTACTGAAACAAAACAAACCAATAAGAATGTGACTCAATCAATAAGTTAAACAATATTCATTTGATAAGCATATATTGCACTTCCTTGCTCCGAAAAGGTTCAAAACTCAGAAATCAAAACTTCATTTTTCACAGAACTCAGAAAGATGAAGGGAAATAAACCATTTTGAAAAATTTCTACAAAACCAAACGGAAAATCTCAAATAACAACTTTGTTTTTTCACCCCTTGTTCGACAAATCAAAAGAGAACGTTGCCAAAATATCCACTACACAAGCCAGCAATCAAAATCTCATCTTTAACAGAGCCCTATAAACAATAATCCCACGCACACATATATACATGTCTATATGGATCATAGACCAAATACCCACAATGTAAAATCACTTCAAAACAAAGAAAGAAAAATCCGCAGCGAATAGCAACAACAAATTAACCGAAGAACATAAAAGTATGACAAGCACAATAATAACAATCATAAGCGATGAGTGAGAAAAGCCTCGTCAAACCGTACCTTGTCCGCTTCTCTCTCTGTCACTCTGCGTTCAAGGACCGACTAAAACCCTAAGGTTTTGATTCGAATAGGGTTTATGTATCAGAAATGGGATTCGGGGTCTGTTATATGGAGGACTCGAGAAAATCTGATCCGTCAAATTAGGGGTCAAATTTACAGCCGTTGGATAAGAGCCGTGACGGTGAGGGTCGTGTATGTTAGTTGCGCGCTACTGCGTGTACGTGGGACGTTAAGATTGGGTTGTTTTAGAGTTTTTATGACAGCCAGAGAATCCCCTTTTAAAGAACCTCAAAAATATCTGCCTCATCCTCATCTTATGCCTACGTAGAAATATTCATTTCGCATTTAAAATTCTAACCACCAATTAGCGGGCCGAAGCCCAAACAGAACTTACAAGAAATGTGATACAAGCAAGCCCATTGACCAACAAGGCAAATGGGATACAATCTAGTTATTTAGGAAATTTCCAGTTACAATTATGATTTTTAAAATTGAGATTTTATTTGGATAATTAATCTACAGAAAACACTGACAAACTATACCACATTTTGTAACTTTAGATAAGTAGCTTATAGAAAATTTATAAATATTAGTCATATAAACAAATTCTATTAGTCATACTAAAAATCCTTTTTGCTCTTTTTATCTTAAGAAAGATAGTCGAGTCAGTTAACGAGGTATAATTCAGTGAAAAATGATTTTAATTTGTAAATCAATGATTTCAGGTTCATACCCATAACACCTTGATAGACGGTACATATGTAGTTAGATTGTTGCTTGTATTTAAAATTAAAAGACGGTGGAGTCAAATTTAAGATGGCATGTAGGCGAGCCAATTAGTTCCTTCCTCCTTAAATAAGAAAAATACTATTTCCTATTATTTTAAAAATAAAAAGTAAAACACAAAGTCAGATAGATGAGCGGTTAAAATTCTCCCTCATCTCCATCGACTGGTCAAGCAGTCAAAGAACCAAAACCTGCGAAAAGTTTCTAAGCTGAACCCTCGAAGTGCCGGACAAATCTCAAAATACCCATCAATCGGAGTACCCTCAAGAACCGAAATTGATCCAATTTTCGAATACCCAATGGCCCAAAATCCAAGACCCACAACCATTCTTGAATCTCTAGGCGAAGAACTTATCAGAATCATCACACCAGTATCAATCTGTATGTTGTTAGTGGTCATTTTGGTAACAATCTTAAACGCGGACTCATCTTCATCAGAAGCAGTGACCTCCATAGCCACCATTGCTTACTCTGAAGCCACCTCAGACTCTTCGTGGGACAAATTCGTAGGTGCCGTTTTGAACTCCCTTGTGTTTGTTGCTGTTGTCACTGTTGTCACGTTCGTTTTGGTCCTTCTTTTCTATCTCAGATGCACTGAGTTCTTGAAAATCTACATGGGTTTCTCTTCTTTTGTTGTGTTGGGGTTTATGGGCGGTGAAATTGCCTTGTTTCTGATTCAAGACTTCAATGTGCCCATTGATTCTATCACATTTCTTCTGGTTTTGTTCAATTTTACTGTTGTTGGTGTCTTGGCTGTGTTCATGTCAAAAATGGCAATTCTTGTCACACAAGCATATTTGGTTGTTATTGGAATGCTGGTTGCTTATTGGTTTACATTATTGCCTGAATGGACTACTTGGGTGCTATTGGTTGCCATGGCCTTGTATGATCTCGCTGCGGTTTTGTTGCCTGTTGGGCCATTAAGGCTCTTGGTAGAGCTTGCAATATCTAGGGATGAAGAGATTCCTGCTTTGGTTTATGAGGCTAGGCCAGTAACTTCTCATGATTCCAGTGGGGGTGTGCGTCAGAGGAGAGTTTGGAGAGATAGGAGAAATGAGGATTCGAATAATGGGCCTCATTCCAATGATAATATCAATTCTGTTTTGGCGGAGAACGGAAATTTTAGGTCAAACTCTAATGTGAATGCCAATCATACTTCACATTCAAATTCAAATCCTGGTGAGTTTGGCAGTGGCCATAATGATTCGAGTTTGGTTAGAGCCGAAGAGGGGCGAATTCCGGATAGGGATCAAGAGCTTTCTGCGCCATTACTAGAACGGATAACAAATGTTGAGCAGCGTGGGCGGGAAGATGCTGTGGCAAGTGAAAGTTTGGTGCTGGAGGGTATTGGATTGGGGTCCTCTGGTTCAATCAAGCTGGGATTGGGAGACTTCATCTTCTACAGCGTTTTGGTTGGGAGGGCAGCAATGTATGATTTTATGACAGTGTATGCATGTTATCTTGCCATTATAGGTGGTCTGGGAATTACTTTGATGCTGCTGGCTTTGTATCAAAAAGCTTTGCCAGCTCTTCCTGTGTCAATAATGCTCGGCGTCGTGTTTTATATATTGACCCGGCTCTTGCTTGAAGTTTTTGTTGTACAATGTTCTTTGAACCTCATCATGTTCTAGACAGAAAAATTATGTTGTAAAAGTTTGATGGGCAGCTACACAACACATGTAAAGCATCAGAGTATACTGTATGAAACTGATGATTGATTGCTGCAACTTGTATTTTTCTGTGAATTTGTTGCATATACAGAACCAGTAAGAGCTTTGCTATAACAGTTCAAAACAAGAGCAAGATCTTTTCTTATTTCTGTTCATAGTGAAACGACTTTTTTGTTTCCGCCAAGGGAAATTCACAAAAAGAAAAAAAAAACTTAATTAAGCAGCTTATATTGAAGGTAAAGCACAGCAGTTGTGGTTTCAATGGTTTATTCTGTCAATATATGATTCATGGGGTAAGCAAGCATTGTATGACTACAATTCAATAACATGGGAAGGCATGTAAAGCCAATTGATATTACTACAGAAGGAGAAAAATGCTGCTGACAAACAACAATATATTACAGCCTAATTTTGCTTCTGAAAATCTGACAGGTTCATATGAGAAAACATAAGTAAACACGCCTCTGCTTGAGCCTCCGAAGATAAGGGTACATGAACAGCCATTTGATCAGAAGGCATACAAACAATTACATTTACATATACTAAATTCCTGACAAAATAAAGGGAAAAACATTGGAAAGGGAGACTTGAAACACTACAACCTGAAACCTAAAAAGTAAACTACCAAAGCTTCACCTTCTGCGTATAAACGCATGGTGCAACGATCTTGGTGACCCTTCAAAGAGATGGAAAAGATATTTCTCCAGATCATCCACAGTGTACTTAACGTCTTTATCACTGATATTGCCAGAGATTCTCCCAACAAAAGTCCGATATGCTTGGATTACATTCTGTGCAGTTGAAATTTGAAGACCTTCCCGAAGCTCAAGATCCGGGATAGACCACCCTGTCTGGCTCTTGTACACCTCCTCAAATGCAATGCTGAAAGCCCTGCATCTTTCTCTAAAACTCGCCTTTGAGAAAGAATGTGACCACTGATTATCATCTCTTAGCAGAGAAAGGACTGAACTCCAAGTAGCTCTCTCATAACTTGTTGCATGCTGCTGGACTTTAGCAATATGCTCTCTTATCCACTCATCTCCAAAGAAAAACATGAGCTTTGAGCTCTTTACCTTTTGGACCATGTAGTGGATGTTGTTCATCAAGAAAACATGTTGTAAAGCGGCATCCTTGTATAGTTTGGATCTGCTATCAAGACTGGATTTTAGAGTAGATGTGATCGACAGAAGGTGGTGAGCTGTTGGATAAAAAGCGGAAGAGAATGAATCTTCTATGCCTTGCCTGTCCTCCAGCTCAAGGGCTTGATTTGAATCTTCTATGCATTGATCATTGATAAGAAAATTAAGTGTTCTGCCATATTCAGTTAGGGTCTTGATGTAGTTCATGACATATCTGGTGAGAGGATGAATGCCACCTCCGGAGAATGGATTTGATGATGTGTTAGATGTTGCAATGGCATTCCCAAATTCCAAAAATGTTGTCTTTGCTAAATTGCCTAAGCTCTTCATAAGCTCGTGGAATTCGATCCTCATGAAAGAACCAGTCTCTTCCATGAACAAAGCATCTATATCCAGGAGAAGATCAGCAAGAACCTCGTACATGTCAAGCAAGGAAAACAACTTCTCTGGCCGACGGGATCCCATGGCTATGGCTTCACCGAAATTCAAGAGGCATGCCATTGTGGCCTTTGAGATGTCAAGAAAGCAAAATGAACTGACAGATCCAAATTCCGCCAAGATCTGCTCACAGAGCCGTTTCTCACTAGCAAGATAGACCCGAATGATGATCTTCATAATCCAGCTCCATTTCTTGATCTCCAAGTTCAAGCTTGTCCACTCCATTTTCAGCACGTCTTCAATGCTGAATATCTGCACACCAAGAACAACCAAGTACTCGTCCAAGGCATATTTCCTTGTGTTGATAAAAGAGTGGCAAAATTCATATCCATAATTTGAAGCAAACATAGCTTTTGCAATGGACTTGAGATGGGGAATTGCCAAAGGCTGCACCAAATCTACAACATAATAGTCATCTGATTCATTGCTATACCTGTTTCTCTGGGATGCCTCCTCAATAGATTCTTCCTCAACTGAATCAAAGGACTCGTCGTACACAATATCTGCTCCAGACAAACGAAAAGACATGTATTCAGGCTCAAGGTATTGCTCGTAACGAACAAGAATATGGATGAGCTCTTCCTCTAGCCTTGACATTGCCAGCTGCAGAACACTATCCGCTCGGTAGAAAAGTTCCTTGTGCTTCCCATATTCATCCACAGACAAGCTTGTAAAGTTTTGTATCAGTGTTTGGATTTCGTCAATGGATTTTAGATAATTGGAAGCTTCCACAGGGCCAGAGTCCCATATCATTATTTGATCATTTGACTCCCAACTGAAAACCTTTTCCTCGGCACTTTTGAGCCGCTTCTCAAACTCAGAAAACTCTTCTGTCTTGCTTTCAGTGATTGCAGCAATGGCAGACAAGTGAGATTCAAGGTCTGAGAGGGTTTTTCTCAAGTCATCAGTTAGGAAACTACTTGACCTAAGTGCCTGCATTATGTGCCGAGCTGCTGCAATCAGATGTTGTTCTCCTTCATGGGTTGGGGTGGAAGATGATTTGTAATCCCCCATGCGGATGGAAAAGCCAAAAGAAAGAAGCAAGTAACCAACTAAACAGAAGCCTCAATGTATAAACTTAAAACTCCCCCAAAAATTTGTACTGCAATTTAGTGACTAAAAAAGGGAACCTAATGATTAATTACACACTAGAATTCAGAACAAAAACAAAAAATCTGTGAACTTACAGTAGAACTGATATGGGACATGATCTCTGCAAAAACTGTTCTTTCTCTTGGATCCTCAGTGAAAACAGGTACATAAACTGAAATCCCAGATTAAGTAATTTTCCAAAAACCACAGAGAACTAGAAAAAAAAACAAAAAAGCTTAAAAACTACGCGTTTTGTTTGATGAAAGAAATGGTCCAAGAATGGGAGAGATACAGAGAATTATTTTTTGAAGGAAAAAAAGCTCCAGCGGGAAAATGATGGTAGACAAATCAAATTGTAGAAAACTTGAGGGGAGATGGACATGAAACTTGGTGGGGTTGGCCAAGGCATTCAAAATACTTGGTGGGGTTGGCCAAGGCATTCAAAATTTCATGGTAGCTTCCTAAATTAACTTTCTTTACATGCAATCTCTTCCACCATATTATATTGTTGGCATTGCAATGACCATTGACTTTTCTAGTATGACAATTGTTGGTTTACTTTGTATATACGTGTGTGTGTCTATATATAGCATCTACATATTTATCAAATATTGAATTACTGGGAGCAAACATGAAAAAAAAACCTTGAATTACAGACAAGAGGTCTGAAATTCCTATGACATATTACTTGTGTACGTGCCTGTGAGGAACTCATCTTTTTTGTAGTTTACTATCGTTTGTACTTAAAAAAAAAAAGAAAAAAAAGAAAAAAAAAGGAGTAGAGCTAGAAACTTGGACTGTTAAAGTCTTCCTTTACGAGTTGATGTATTCAAAGTCCAATGCCTGCTTGTCAACCGGGGTGTGTTATTTTGGCCATTAACAACCTCACTGAAAGTACATTGGCTAGCTGTTTTGTGTGCCTGATTAAGAAAAAGATCGCTTGTTAAGACTTAACAAGAAACTAAATAAAATTAATTAACTAGTAGTAGGTTCAAAGTGGGGTGAGCCTAAGGGTTTGATTTCCATTCCGCCACCTGTGGTCCACTTAGCAAATTTTAAAACCCTCTCAATCTCAAGAGTCAAAGCAACGTTCTTGGAATTCTGCTGAATAATAAACAGATTGACTCCTTTGGTAAGTTCGTGAAAATTTCATAAACATCTTGACCATAACTATTGTTTCCATCGTTCACACATGAACCTGCCTCCTTTTCTTACTTTCCAAGTAAAGACAAAAATACAAGTAATGAAAACCAACCGTGGGTTAATAATTGCTTAGAATTATATTATGGATGTAAAACCAATTGGGCCATAATTCCCAACCAGACAAAGAAAAAGTTCGAGTTGGGCCAACTTCGTTCCATTATTTGATGATTTCGAATTGGGTGGAGTGTAACGATAAACGCTCTTAATTTGATTTTCAAGCGGTCGATATTTGAATGTCATATTTTCCAGCTAAAAAAACTAAAATATGACGACTTTGTTAAATAAAATAAAACCACTGTTTTAATTGATAAAGTAAAGTTTATTATGTAATAAGAAAATATTATTGGGAATATTATTAAGGTAAATACCGAATAAATGACAAAAAAAGCAAAGACAGCCTTGGATTTTAGAAATTAGTTAAGACGAGGAGGAGCGATATGGAAATAGAGAGGGAGAGAAAGGAAGCAACGCCTAAGTCTATGCAAGGCCCTTTAATCCTCCCCAGGTTTCTCTCTCTCCTCACTGTCATTTTCATTTTCGTTTTTGCGCATTTCATTTTGGGGTTTTCTTGGATTTTCAGTCTTACCCCCGTTACTCCACAGGTTGACGTCAAATGCAAAACCGAGACTGCTGATTTTCAGGGCCGGGAGATTGGCAGTCTCTCTCTCTCTCTCTCTCTCTCTCTCTCTTCAGGGCGGACGTTAATTCATTGGCATTGGTTTTGCATGTAAGTTTTGTTTTCATACAAGTTGTTACATTTTTTTTTTCTTTGGTTTAAATTTTCAATGGGGTTTTTGTTTTTAATCTCAAATTCTTGTTCTTGCAATGTATATAACGTTTGAAATGTAATGTTTGTCCTTCTCTTTCCAATGTTTTCATAGATTATGTTTGAAATATAATGTTTTTGGATTAATTTTTTCCCCTTAATTTCAAGTAAGGATATAAGTTTAGCATGCAGTTTTGAATATGAATGCATTCTGATTTGTGTTGTCAATCAAATGAATGCATTTAAGTTTATAATTCTCCAGTTTACCTGTTAATCTGTCACATTTCCTGTTTCCCACAATTTGGGCGGCAAACATTATGAAGAAGCTCTCTCGGGATCCATAGTTCCATATAGAATTCAATCCTGCGAATGTGCTTGGATTGGTGAGCTTATGATTGTTTTGTTATTTCATTTTACAGAAATCCCATGGTTTTGGACGGGTGGAGCCATAATTACAACAATTTTTAGTTATGGCATCTGCAGATGAGGGTAAAAGCTTAAGTTCCCCCTCCTGCTCCCCTCTGTCAACATCTTCAGACTTTGTCCATGCAGCAGCCACAGAATCCCCTGCTGAAAGCACAACCGGCCAGAGAAAACGGGACGAGGAGGACAATGCCATAGGAATTTTGGAGCTGGGCGGAATAAGTAGCAACAATGTTATGAGGACAAGCTCTGCTACAACTCTTGGTGAAGTTGATCAGTTGAATGATTTGAGGACAGATTCTGCTACCACTCTAGGTGAAGCTAATGCTTCTAGCTCCAGAGGAGAAAATTTTAGTCACTCTCTATCTGATTGTTCTGAAACCACCGACTTTGGATTGGGCACAAATGCAACCAGTATGTCCCAAGAAGGTTCCACTGGCCATACAAAACTTGTGGACTCTCAGGAAGGTTCAGATTATGCTGATGAGGATTATCTAGGAGCCTCAATGCCGAAGAACGAGCAACCTAGTGATGGATTAGAAGCACCACCTTCTCAGCCAGAGGTTGATGATTTAGCATCAGCAACAACAGAATCTCCTCCTACGCAGGTGATGGAGCGACCCGGTGACCCTTCTTCATATAGGATCCCTGACTATGTGTTTGCTAGGAACAAATCCACAGCCCCGTTGGAGTGGAGCACTGCATCCAATGAATCCTTGTTCAGCATTCAGATGGGGAATATGAGTTTCACCAAAGACCAGTTTCCTTGGTTGGGCAAATCTGGTGAGCTGGGTTTGCCTGGTGAAGTGAGCATGCCTATGCCTAGTGGTAGCAACCTCAGTAATATTGATTTCTCAAGCAACCAGCCTCCATCAAAGCAGTCTGCTGCTGAGAATTCCCAGAAAAGTGGCAATTTGGAGGAGGAAGTTGAACCAAGCCCAAGAGTAACTGAAGCAAAATCTGCAGCAACCATGAGAGAGGTTATAAGGGAAAATGCAGAAACTCATGAGAAAGCAAATGACTCTGTTGCTGAGGGAAAATATCATTCAGCTTGCCTCTCTCATGCTTCAGATGGAAGCACAAGATCTTTTGCATTTCCAATGTAAGTTGCTTAACAATAATCTACATCCTCAAAATACATAGAAGTAAATTAATCATTTAAAGAATAAGAAAAAACCAATGCAAGAAATATATATTTGTGCACCTTGGCATGTTGAGCAAACAGCTGAATCTCTCTTTGTTGCATGAAGATTGGCAGGGGAGGGAGACGTAAGCTGTTCACTGAGGGGAGATGCAATGAAACAAAGGCAATATTCGCCGTCAAAGCCAAAGTCGAAACGAGAATCGCGGCCACAAACACCTAAAGAAAGTCCAAATGGATCATCACCTCAGACCCCAAAACCAGCCCCAAATGGAGGAAAGTGCAGATGGGGGCTGTCCTGCTTCTCTTGTTGCCCATCATGCTGTTCTTGAGAGACGTTGTCCAGGGTAGTGGTACAGTTAAAACTTCAACCCTTCCAAAAAGTTCTGAACAATATTGCAACAAAAGGAAAAGAAAAAACATTTGTAGTTTAGTGGTTTCTCTCTTCTTGTTGTACATTAATTACACATGGATATGCAGACATCTCTTGTTTTCTCATTGGAGTTGTATGTGAGGTTAAACATGTTTTTTTTAGCATTAATAGATAATTAAACGAATCATTTAGGTATTTCCTATGTGTCTTAGGGAATGTAAATACTTGATCCACGATAATGCAAGACTTCACTCCATGTCAGTGTTACCATGTTCCCCTTTTCATGTTTTTTTAATTTTGTTTATGATTTTATGAAACATATATATTAGTGAAAAAAAAGAGAAATGCTAGATTTATCACATTTTTATACCACATTCTATACCACCTTTCTAATAGAGGTGGGTCTCATTGTATTGTTGGGAGGGATTCACCTCTATCAGAAAAGTAGTACACAGTGTAATATAAAAATGTGGTAAGCCTAGCATTACTCGAAAAAAAATCCCCAAAAAAACTCCAACAATATTTGGGGTCAAATATATATATTTTTTTGGGAAAGAACATGAAATTATGGGTCCAATTGTTAATGCCAACGTGGAGGGCCCATAATATTACAGCCCAACTACAAAGTACCAGAATTCTTGATGGTCCAATCGTGAATTTCAGAAACAACATAAGGGGAAAATGGTAAAACGCAGAAGGAATTCGCACAGGCGCTGGAGCGCGCCAGTCCACAAATACCAAAACACACGAAAGGTAAATTTGGCGCCAAAAAAGTAAAAAAAAGATTGTTTAGGAAGCCTTGCGGGAAATGATTTCAAAAAACAAAAAATCTCCCGCCGAAATCCACTTATACAAAACCCCAACTCCAACACAGAGACTCTCATGTCATATCATATAATCTCTCTATCTATCTCTATCTCCCCCCAAATCGCCTCCAAAATTTTAGAGAGAGAAAGCAACAGAGTGAAAGAAAGGGCTGAGAATGGCGAACCTAGGACCAACCCCAGATGCGCTTT